AAAAAAAAAAGACATTATGAACAAACTACTCGTGGAAGTTAAAGCTGCATTATTCAAAGATTCCTCCTTAACTGAAATGCCCTGCAATCCACGCCTACAGGGTTGCTGAACAGAGAGCAAGAAGACAGAGCCTCTGCTGCACAGCCAGCCTACATGCTCTTGTCTCCAAAGTGGAGGGTGAGTGGTGCTTGATACGTGCACCAAGAGCTAAGGCCAGAGCACCTGGAGGAATTCTGGCATTCATCTGCTTATCTTTGGAATTTACTTTTAAGTGTCACAGCTGCAAAGTTAAATAGCATATGTGCTGAAGAGATGTAAAACCACTTAGGCTTTTAAATCAACATTATGTTAGGTCCTAAGCTAGGAGTTAGGTATACATAGAATCATAGGATGGCCTGGGTTAAAAAGGACCACAATAATCACCTAGTTTCAACCCCCTGCTATGTGCAGGGTCGCCAACAACCAGAGCCACATCCAGCCTGGCCTTGAATGCCTCCAGGGATGGGGCATCCACAGCCTCCTTGGGCAACCTGTTCCAGTGTGTCACCACCCTGTGAGTGAAAAACTTTCTCCTAATATCAACCTAAACCTCCCGTCTCAGTTTAAAACCATTTTCCCTTTCCTATCACTATCCACCCTTGTAAACAGTCATTCCCCCTCCTGTTTATATGCTCCCTTTAAGTATTGGAAGGCCACAGTGAGGTCTCCCTGGAGCCTTCTCTTCTCCAAGCTAAACAAGCCTGTAAAAATGATAGCTTTGCTGATTCACTGTGAAAACAGGCTATTAAATAGATACTACTTAACAAACCTATGCCTTTAGCACCCTTTGTTCATGGGATGACTGCTGTAATTAGCAAACAAACATTAGCTGGCTAACCTGCGGGCCTGATAGATATTAGATATGCAATTGCTGATTAGTTTTATATTCTCTTCAAGATAAGAAAGGTTCAGAATCACAATTTCCACATCAGGATGACATCGGGAAGAGACACCCATCTGTACCCTATTTACCATGGCCGTTCCTTCGTCCAATCTCATCCTTCTTGAAGACACTCCCACCACTGGGAACGCATTTTTCTGCCCACTCGTCCTTTAACTTCAGTTCCTCAATCTGCTCGTCCGTCAGCCCTTGCATATTGAGCGGCAAGTACACGCCGTGCTCCGCCAGCTCCTGCATCTCTTGGTCAAGCGTTTAGAGCACAAGGTTAGAAATCTGCCTTACTGAGAACACACCGCTTACAAAACCCTCTCAGAAAACGCATACGCAGCCAAGGCCCGCACAGAGCCTAGGATTCGGGGCGAGGATCCCTTGAATTCGGGGACGCGAAGCCCTTCCCGACACCCGCAGGCCCAGACCCCGCACGCAGCAGCGAGGCGACGGGCCGGTACCTGCGCACAGCCTCTGCACCTTCAGCCTGCCGTTGTAGATGCGGGCGACGAGAGGCGCCAGCTCGGCCAGGCGGGCGCCGCAGGCCGCCTCCAGCAGGAATTGGCTCTCATCGCCGCGCTTCACGTGCAGCCGCACCATGGCGGGGCCGGGCCGAACGGGGAGACGACGGCGGGACCCCGCTGTGGCTCCGGAGGCGCGACGCGCATGCGCGGGAGGCCGTTGGAGCCGCTGCCCGCCTCCTCGCGTCCGCAGCAACGCACGCGCCTCCCTGGATACGGGCGGGGAGGCGGGATGGCGCTTCCGCTTCCGCCCTAGGCGGGGGACGGGGTCCTCATCGGGCCAATCGGGGCGGCGCAGTTGGGGCCGTTCAGTCTGGAGAAGAGGGGGATCGGGGGGGAGCTGGTTGCTCTCTACAGCCACCTGAAGGGAGGCTGCGGTGGGGTGAGGGTCAGCCTCTTCTCCCGGGTGACAGCGATAGGAGAAAGGGAATAGCCTCAGGCTGTGCTAGGGGAGGTATTAAAACGTCTGTCGGTCAGTTCAAACCTAGAGCTTAGGCTGACTTCAACAGGATGTGTTGCGAATGCGTTGAAAGAAATAGACTCCTCACATCCTCATTTATTTGTCTTTCCGTTCTGCGAATTCAAACTCACTGGATATCACCCAAGTATGTTTTATCCACGTTTCTAGTACTCAGCAGTGCAACCTCTAAAACACTAGCAAAGGCAGAGAAAGAAATTAGGGTCAGAACATTTGCTTCCCATCTCCTATATTACTAAGGCTTACTTTATTGGACCCCCCATTGCTCCCACCACAGCTGTGAGAGTTGGTGTGGAGCAACTGATGTACCTTCCTATGAGCAGCAGTGCCCCTTCCTCTGCCCAAAATGCAGGAAGTGAGGGAGATCTTACGCAGTCACATTGCAGTGGGGTGAATCTGTACGCATTAATCTCAGGAATTAAGCTTTTCTTGCTCTCTGCCCCACAAACTCTGAAAGATCCTTTCCTTCCCAGTCCTACACCTGAAACTGCTCTTCATCAATTACAGTGCAGTTCCCACTGTGACCCCACCAGGTGCTCTCAAACTTCCAATCAACTCGTTGCTGGTCCTGCACAGAGCCACAGGTGTTGTCATTTGATTCAAGGAGCAAATAAAACTGCATCTGTAGGAAATAACTCCTCACCCAGACCTCACTTCCCCTTCCCTATGTTGTCCCCAGGTTGCTCCCTTTTGGCCTCCTTGATGTCCCTCTGGTTCTCCAGATGGGGGTGGGCACCAGTTTCCCAAGCAATGCTAACACAGAAGAAAATAGCGATCTCTTCCCAGTTTGTCACCATTTCTTGCCCATGTTCTGTGACATCAACAGCATGGCTTCTGCAAGGGAGTAGCTGTGTGTGCAGGCAATGTGCTGCCATGTCAGCCATCTCCCAGAGGCTGCTCTGTGGGTCCAACTGGAAAAAGACCCTGAGTGAGTTTTGCTAATGACAGAAATGGGAGATGTGCAGCCCCTCTTTTATTTCATTCCTATGCTGTTATCTATTATTTGACATTTTAGAAGTCTAGAGAGCAATCCAAGAAAGTCAGTGATGTTCTCTAAGCCATTTAAATCACATCTCTCTCTACAGGCTCAAGTGCTCTATCTGTAAGGGAGAGGTTAGATCTGGGGAGGGTGTCTGGATGCAGGACTCAAATGTATGCTAACTTTTAGTTTGAAAAACCTAACCTTGAAAGTAGATAGACCTTACAGAGAGAGCTTGACAAATGGGAGAGCTGGGCAGTCACTGACAACATGGAATTGAACAGGAGCAAGTGCTGGAGTCTGCCCCAGGATGGGACAACCCTCTGGAGCCCAGAGTTGGACTCAATTCTTGTCGGTTGCTTCTAACCTGGGATATTCTGTGATCCTATGAAGCAGGAGCCTCCATGCCAACAACAAAGGCAACACAGTGCGCAAAGAGGCAAGGCAGTGATTGGAGACCCTGGGACCTCCCTGTCTGTGCAACTTGGAGCCTGGCCCCTGGAGTATGGAGTGGGCTGCAGCTGTCCTTCAGCAGCAACCGGATTTCTTACACCCACAAGATCACAGAAAATAAGCACTGCATGTATTAAAAGGCTGTTGCCATTCATAGGGTTGAGATGAAAAAGTCATTTTGCCATCCTGTTCAGCCTGAACAAGAGGAGGTACAAAAGTGCCAGTGCAGACAGGACCAACCCTGACCTCAGCAAACACCAGGTGTTAGCAGCAAACTCATCCCACATTATCCTGTGTCCTGGCCGTTTTACCAAGGACTGTGGTTTGCATCACGTCCATTTCACAAAGCAGTCAGAGCATTTCCAAGGCAAGCATTACCTCTGTGCTCTGCCAAGTGACTACAGCTGGCCAGGTCTCTGCCAGTCCTCCAAAGGAGAGCTAGAGTGATCTCTACCCCAGAGCGACAACTGCGAGCTGCTCTGGTTAATAGTGCCCCAGGAAAGTATCCATCACAAGAAAATAAAAAGGTGAGTTCTTAAGGGCAGTATGTTTATTTTGTTAATACAACACCGCCTTCCACAGGGTATATACGGAATGTTGTATGCCACTGAGTTTCAATACTGCAGTTCTGTAAAGTATACAGCCATAGATATTGTGTGCCACAAGCAATAAAACTGTTACATTTAACAGAGCAGTTTACCACAGGGAACATGGAATTTGTGTAAATGTGTTGAGCGTTTCTATTTTTAATTCTTAGTATGTTCAGAACTTCTGCTAGTAATTCTTTTCGTTAATACACGTTACAGTGGTTAGCAATATATATATATACACACACTACAGTTTTGGAGCAGTTCTTGTGATCTCTGCAGTACTTTGCTGTCCATCTCCGTAATCCTGTATAGTGCAGAGGTGCTGTATACCAGGTGCATTTTAGACAGTAGTTTTCAATCACTGTAATTAAATATTCAACAAAGAACATATTTATCACGTAACTCCCACTAGGAAAAAGTCTCCCCCCCAAAATGTTTTGCTAATATACCAAAACACTGATCACACAGATGTTTATAGCAACAGTGTAAAACAAGGTAATCCACATACCGAAGCACAAAGATTAAAGTACCACAGCTGTTTAAAATGTACAAGTACTGTTTAATGAGCTGAACAGAAAAAAAAGCACAATATAAAATTCACTATAGTCACTCCTCTATCCAACTGCAGCTCATGGCTAACCAGACAGTGTTAAAGAAAAAGTGGACTATTTTATAAATAATCTTTTAATAGCATTTGAGAATTTTTTAAAAGTACTGTCATTGTGTATTTTGCTGCTATAAATATAATGCTAATACGTTAAGTTTTGGTCACTGGTTTTACAGAACCAGTTGGCTTGTTTGCAAGTAAAGCCAATGAGCGTAGTAGGCAGGTGTCTGCAGTCCCCCCAGAGATGACAACATTGTGCCATGTTCAGCTTTTGATGGAAGTACACAACTGCATATAAAAGTTACGTGCCAAGATAGCGTGAGTTGTAGGCAGAAGGGCAGGTTTTCAGCATGTCTAAGTAGAGTTAAGGATATCAGTTATTTTAAATTGCCTCAAGATAACAAAATATTAGATTTAATGTAATGTTATGTAAGCTTTAGAAAACATAAGAGCACAGAGTTGCCTTTTTATAGCATCATATGCAGAACCGTGACTTAGGCTTTGCTAGCCTCAAAGCAGCACCAAACGTGGGACGGTCACCGTCTCTGGGGGACGAAGGGTCACTTGTTTAGTTTAACTGCAGAAGTGACAGAATGATATCATTCAGCTCTGAGAACGTTCTCTTCTTTGAAGGCAAAGTTTTGAAAATACAGCAGTAAGGATAACAGTAGACAGGAAGGATGCTGGGAGGACAGCCCGAATATGTAAGGTGACTTTCTCTTCTGCTGCTGTAATATGACTGCCAGTTCCTTCACCCAGGTCCTTCTGTAGGACAAGAAAGCCCTTCCAACACATGAAAGAAGAGTGGGACGAGCTAATGGCAGTATGTTGTCTGCAACTGGTAAAAGACTGCTTAATTTATCAAAATTCAAGGGGATTTTTTTCCAGAGATTGAGGGAAAACTTATATTAGTTGATTCCAATTTGTGGAAAAAAAATATTTTAAAAAATAGCAGTGAATAAATGGATGATATGGAACAGTAATTCTGAATTAAAAATGGTGAATATATGTCACAATAATATTTAACAGCTGAAATGTACTGACACAGAAAATTAAAGTCAAATATTGAATATATTAATATACAAAGTATTGTTTGTATTTTGAAATTAAACTATTCTTGTTGTGCCTCAAATTCAAATATAAGCCTTACAAATCTCTGTAGCTTCTGTTATAAATTAAACAACTTCTAAACAATACTTGTCAACATTCAAATCTCAATAAACTTTGGCAGCTCTTTGGTAAATACTTATAAATAGCAATTAACAAAACAGTAAAAAGGGAGTGGGAAGGCTACCAGCAGGGAGCTCCCTTTTTTGAAATTCCACAAAGGGGAACAGAGCAGAGAGAGCTCCCTAGGCAAAAACTATTTCCAAGATTGGTATATTTTACTGAGATTAGTAGCTCATTCTTCTTTCTTTTCCATCTATTCAAATACTATTACACTGGGATTTTAATAAACTTCAGATCATTTCTTGTGCTCTACCATATATACATATTCAAAATCTATACACAAATAATAGTGGCTGTTTACGAGTAAAGTTTCAGTGCATTTGACAAGTAATTATTGCACACAGAATAATCTCAAATGCCCAATTATTCTACTGGATAAATGTAGCAACAAATATAACCTCTTATATTTTTTGAAGATCTATCTTTCTGTAAAATCTTGCGTTGGTGACACCTTAGGTGCCAAAGAAGTGAAAGGATCTGCAGGGGATCTGTTGCTGGTTACTCTCGATGGGACAGGAGGTGCAGGCGGTCTTCTTGCTGGCATCGTATAGAAACAATCAGTAGAACTTTTATTCCAGTCATTACCAAAGGTAAAGTCTGAACCAAGAAAAGTATTTTTTTCAGTGCCCAGCAAATCTGGAGATCCAGCTGACTTCCTGGAACCGATTTGCTTAAAATCTGGAACACTTTTAGATGGCTTTAGCTTTACGTGGAAATTCTCATCCTCCTCGTCAAACGTTACCCATCCTTTTGGCTGTACATTTTTTACCATGAGAGATCTACTTCGCAAGCAAAAACTGTTTTCAGGTGCATCAACATAAAATACAGGCTTGCTCGTATTAGAACTGGGGGGATTTAGAGAAGGGAAAGAATTGAAAGCAGCATGTCCTTCCTGTAAATGTGAAGTTATTTTAGATTCTTGAGATTCTGTTCTAAATGGGTTTCCAGCAGTAAGCGTTCTTTCAGTGAATGGATTTGTGCGGTTCAGTCCAGTGACAAATGGATTTGGAGAGCTGCGCGTGTGTTCCTGGGATATGTTAAGGGTTGGAGCAGGAGGCATTGCTGGCATGCAACTTACAGTATTCAAAATATCATTTCTTTGTGTTGCGGAAGGCAACTGCAACGATTCCTTTTGGTTTAAGGTTGGAACAGCTGATGTTCGAGCAGATGTCTGCATCTTTGACACAAGCAGCTGAAATGACAAATCTTCAAAAGGGTCGCTATTTAATTGTGTTTCAAGTTTAGTGCCATAGGTTCCATTTGCTTTAATCTGGAAAGAAAACAAGGTGTTCAATAATCTTAAAAACAGACGGTCATGTGATTACTATCAACTCCCCATTTCTCAGTTCCATGAGAAGAAAAGAAGCTCTTGCGCTTAAACTGAACCTTCAGTACAACTTGGCTGCAACTTGTACAATGCGCTTATTGTAGAATGATTGCTTCTTTTCAGGAACAAAAAAAAACCCCTTAGCTCCTTTTCCAAAGAAAAGCTTCCTAGTAGCTCATGTTAACTCCCCATCCCCATGCAGCTCAGAACCCTGGCCAGAAGCTCTGTTGGATATGGTATTGGAAACTCTTCAAGAAACTTAGGCAATTGTGCTATATTCTAAACAAGTGATAACCCAGCACAGATGTGAAAGGAAAAGCTCTAGTTTTCACTGTTGGAGAGTTTCTAACACGGATGTTAAAAGCAATATTTAAGCATCACAATGAAAGAGAAAATTAGTGTTATTAGTGTATGTACTTTAGGCATCTCTATGCAGATGTCTATTTTGTAGGCATCTCCAGTACTTCTTGACATGTGAAGCTACAATCATCATCTTTGTCAGGAGGGGGAGGAGCTTTCTTTTAAAACACATGATTTTAATGATTTTATTATGGCAAGTGATTTATGATTTTAAAATGGCAAGTTATCATTGTTTAGAATAAGACCAGATGGAGAAGACAGTTTTCTCCACGAACCTTCCTTATCTTTTAAAACCAAAGCTTTAAACAACAATGTAATTATTATACCTTGTTCCAACTGTCCAAAAAGGCAGAATATTTATTACCTACAGATTGTTTGAGTCACGACAGTGACAGAACAAAGTTTGGAGTTCCACCTTATTAAGCTCAGGCGAAGCAATTAAGGCTGTTAAAATAACTTCTGAGAGTTCCAATATCACGAACAGCTCTGTCATTTTAACACATTACTTTAATATACCAAAACGGTTTAGATCTTTAGCATGAAGATTGTTAACTACTGTTTCATTCAACTAGGATCCTAGCTAAATCTATCAACTGAAATACAGTATTAAGTAGCCTAACCTCAGCCTTTACAAAAATGTTTTTACTGCAGTTTGAAGCACGTCTCCATACATCCACTTCCTAATATAAAAAAAAATGGATGATTCAGTTTAGAGACTCTCAGAAGTTTACTAAGCCAGAGAGTTTCTAAAATAGATGAAGCCTAAGGTTACCAAACCATAAACAGAATTGTTCGTCTTATAAGGATACAGCGTTTCAGAAAACAGTACTAAAACAAAGACATCAAGTAACAGAGGGGAAATATGTAAAACATTGAACCATAGAATTAATCTAAATTAAATGCAGCTTGGCACAAGTTGGTTAAATTCTATGTTCATTCACCAGGTAATCAAAAAGTACAAAATCCCAAAGAAACAATGAATCCCAATTGCTCTTTACTGTAGGCAAAATTTGGTCTGAATAATTCTGGGAACACATGCTTTTAAATTGTCCATATAACAGCATTTTAATTGTAACATTCAGCTCATTTTACTATGGGTAACAGTAAGATCTCCGTTCTTTGAGAAATGTGAATCATGGAATCATAGAATTGCTCAGGTTGGAAAAGACCTTAAAGATCATTGAGTCCAACCACGACCTAACGATACTACCCTAACTCTAACAGCCCTCCACTAAATCATGTCCCTAAGCACCACATCCAAATGGTTTTTAAATACATCCAGGGATGGTGACTCAACCACCAGTGCTTAACAACCCTTTCTGAAAAGAAGTGTTTCCTGATATCCAACCTAAATCTCCCCTGTTTCAATTTGAGGCCATTTCCCCTCATCCTGCCACCTGTCACCAGTGAGAAGAGACCAACCCCACTCTCTCTGCAATCACCCTTCAAAACACCTACTTGGTTTGTTTTTTTTTCCAAATAGACTATGAGCAGCAGATCCAGACTAAACAGCATACACATGATCTAACTGTTTCTTTAAAGATGATGAAGCAAAATTTTTGCTATGTCACTAGTAAATACAGTTAACACTATCAATTTTTACTGCATTATGAAAAGAAAAAGCAAACTATGGTATGACAGTCAGTCCATTAATGTGGACAGGTGATTTTAATGTGGATGAGACTGCAGATGTATGAAAAGCAGATTCATACATCTTTTCTGCTTGAACAAATGGAGGCCACATACAATATTGGTAAATAGGCAGATACCTGTTACCCTGATGGTTGCTCCTGCTTGTGAAAGAGAAACAGACATCAAAGGAAAGAACATTAGGGAGAAAATCCAAGTAACAAAGCAATCTCAAGTTAAAAATACTTTGTTTTAACAAGAACATTTTTTGGTGATATGAAAATGAAATAAAAATATTTGTTAAAAAACACTTAACCAATTTATTTTACTGCAATATTTATAAACTTTACCATTAAGAGTTCAAAAAAACAGCTTGAGCCAATTCTAATTTTATTTCCATATGAGCACTCATTGTGCAGCTGACTTGCGCTTGTTTGTGAAAATAGTCTATATAGAAATCTGCATACGGATGGTCTAATTCTAATCACCCATTAATATAAAAAGCACCACAGCCTCCTTCTGGGAACTGTGTTCATATAACCTTCCAGCTACTGTAATAGCTTTTGAATCTGAAAAACTATAAAGACTTCTCACTCTATCAAAAACCCAAACCTTCTTAATTTAAAATAAATAAATCCTCTCTATTCACAATAACTACTTTGCTCTTTTAATATATTTCTTGGTGACCCATGAAGTCCCAAATACGTTTCTATACTCTGTATAGAAGCAATTATTTTTATAAAGGAAAAATTTAGCTTCTTAAATATCACAGTCAAGCTCTGAATCAAAGCACAGGCTCGGAATCCATTGCCCCTCAACAGATACTACTTTTATTTAAACACCTTTTCTCAGAAGAAATTCATATTTGTAAATGGTAATCAAAAAATGAAAGAAACATCATTTAACTAACTCTTCTTAAAAAAATGAAAAGGGAAATTAAAAACTCTAAGCTGGAGACAATAAACAAAACTCAAAGTGGGCTTTCCTTGTGATTGCACAGCCTGTGGTAGTCACACAAGAGTGACTGCAGAGAAAATTATAGCTACCTGAACTAGTTTTAAAGTATTTGGGATATTGTTAACAACACAGCCACAGCATTAGGCAGCTCAAAAATCTGTTGACAGTGTTTTTAAGCGTAATATACTGATTGCTATAAATATGCAGAGATAAATGTCATTTCACAGTAATTTTGAAAGAACAGCTTGCTTTCACAAAACTTTCAGAGGTAAAACTACATTTAGAAGGTGTGAGGCTTTCAAAAGCAACACAATACTGTCTGCTTCTATCCGTGGCAGTGGTACATTCTCAACTACCTTATGCCTACATGTATATTCTCTGCAGTCAATACTTTATGCTTTCTAGCAAACGTCACAAGTCCTGATATTCTATGTGTATATTCAAAAACATCTTCCTTCTGCAGCCAAAGTTTCAAAAAAAAAAGTTAACAGGTAAAGAGAGAGGTAAAGCATAAATAAAGGAAGAGCATTTAAAAATGTTCTAATTAGAACATTTCAAAATCATCATCTCAGGGAGGCTGCTGTGCTGTTGTACAAAATAAGTACAGCTTTTCTGAAAGTGGGCTTCAGGTGTATAGATGAGGTAAGATCTAAATGCTGACGTAAAAAACTTATGTATTCATAAATATCCACAGCTGAGTGTAGGCTAAAAAAAACAACACATTGCCAGAAAAAAAAAAAAAAGTACTTTACTCTTGATAGTAGATGGCACAAATCTATCAGCTTCAATGAATGCACACTCTTATACAAGTGGGGATTATCTGGCCTAGCACTTGATGCTGTAGAAATTAATACCACTGGCCTTTAGTGAAGAAGTTTGGACATGACAACATAATTGTAAGAACAAGCTGTTCATAAGTTGTCTTAAGAAATCTTAAGTTAAAAGTTTAGTATTCAAGATCTTAGTTATTTACAAGACAGTACAAAAGCCATTAAGTATTATTCAACCAAAAGCTGATTTATGGATCCAATATTTTGACCTTTCTCTTTGTTTATTTGTTTGAGTTTCTCATAAATCTACAGCATGCAGTACAAAATGTTAATTTACTTAATGAAAAAATAAATAGACTTTTTTTTTTTTTAAACTTACTTGCTGCTGTGAAGGAGCAGGTTCAGAAGGCAAAGTGTGGGATGATCGGCTACGAGGAGGTGGTTGTGGGGGTGGTTCCAGACTTGGTGGGGCACTTGTCTGAGGTGGATGTGATGCCATGGGTATCAAAGGCTCTTGCATCTTTAGCGCAGGTGGTGGCTGAGTCACGGGTTGGGCAGGAGCAGCCTGAGGCTTTAGTGGTTCAGGAAGCAATGGGGAACCTGCAAGTGTATTTTCAGTATTGTTCAATGAAAAGATTTGTTATGGAAACTTTAAAAATGGCATGTGTGGATGTGGAAGCACCAAATAGAACTGCAGCAAGAATGGCTGCAAGAAAAAGCAGGTATTCTAGGTCAGAAGTTAAAAGCCCAGCATATCTCCCTTAAAAAATATTACTCCAGATAGAAAACAGAGCTAGAAGATGTGCTATTCTTAAATGTACTTCAGTTACATTTAAGCATATTTTTGATGTCACAATTATAAAGTGCATATTTTGACTTTAGCACACACACACACACACAAAAAAAACAACAAGAAAAAAACCCTTTATCTTTCAATTTAGGGAGTGAAACATAATTTTTATGCCGAATAATATGATTATGGAGCAACCACTGCAGAGAATAATCCATGATAAACACCTCTGATTAGAGAGGCTGATAAGCCTAGATCAGAACGTAGCAACCTGATAAAAGAGTTTTCTTGCTGGAATAAACCTAGTGAGCCCAGACTTCCCTCAGTGCTGCCTACTAGCTGGTAAGGGTTTACAGTACTGGTTGATGATCAGCACTAACATAGACTGTTAGACATTACTACATTTGAAAACTTTCATTTGTAGTAAAAAAATGAAGACATCTGTGAAAAATGAGGACAGCAAAACATTAAAACCAGAGACAGTACCTCTTGAACAAACAGTGACATTTAGATTTAACTTCTAAGTACATACATGCTTTGGAAGAAATAAAACTTACTCCTTGGTGGTTCAGCTGGTTTGGTTTGAGGTTCAGGTGTTGGTCTTCCACCAGATGGGCGGACATGGCTTTGTGGTGCACTAATAACTCCAGCTCGAGGTGGAATAGTCTAATAATGGGTAAAGAGAAGGGATTGTAAATTCAACTTCAGATCTGTAGTCATCTACCACTGATTGACTCAGAATAATTAACACCTGTGAAAAATGAGTTCTCTGATTATAGTTGTTGAGCTATTTTTTCATGCATATATACAACTAGAGAATATTTTCTCAAAATACTACGAGTGTTCAAGTCAAAGCAAAGGGTTTTTACAAGTCTTCTACTTTATATAATATTTACCAGCATAACAACACTTAAAACACCTACTACTTTGTCACAATTAGTAACTGAATTTGACCTAAGTCTGTGAAATATTAAAAAAAAACAAAACAACAAGAACCTTATTTTGTAAGTACCTTATTTAGTAAGCACACACTGATAACACACTGTCAACAAAGGCTGTAGATACTCTTGCTGTTTGGGTTGTAACTATAGCCTGCTATTTGTAAACAGCAGCTACAGTCAGGTGTAGACAGCGAGCATGGCTTCCGGCTTCAGTCAGGTCTATTTACAGAAGGTCCAAGATATGGATAAGAGACTATGGTTATTTCTTTTAACAAACCTAAGTTTGCTAATTGGAAAAAAATTATTCTTGTTCCCCAGCAAGAAGAATTAGTGAAACATACATGCTGCATCAGCTGGAGTCTTCCCGAAGAAGCTTATATGCCAGGAATAAAATTGTTCTCTCAAAACAAAGTAAAAGAATCTATGTGTGTATTTAAATAGAAATAGGAAACTACTGTAGGTTACAACTGGAGCTGAATGAGTTACTAACACTTGAAAGCCAAATGTAAAGCACTAGAATAAAAACAACAGATTTCAGAAAAAAATAATTATCATGAGAAAAGATAATTTAAGATTTGCTTCCTCTAGAACTTTCTTATATATTCTCCCACAAGAAGTGAATAACAATGCGTGCCCTAGAAATGGTTTTCAGAGCTAATCCACAATTCTTTACACAAACTTGATCTAAAAATATGCAAATAAACGTCACCACTTGAAAATAAGTATTATACTTGAGGCTGCTTCTAATAGATGTACATACTGTACTTTTTCTTATGTCTGAATCATCATGCTTTGCTGAGCCCATTTAACAATGATCTCATGCTTCATGCCACATAATCTCTGAAATACTGACTTCACTTTCATTGCCAAGATACATGTCACCAGGCTTAATTTTTTTTTTTTTTTTAATATTTAGAAAGTAGGCAGAATGATTGGATTAAATTCCAAAACTCAAATTGAAAGTTATGCACTAAATTAAAGAGAAACTAAGCCTAAAATAATCCTCAGGACTATCTGGAGGGAAACAGAGCATGCAGTGGTTACTGTCCCTGGTCCTGAAAGCTTTACAAGGAAATGCTGAACAAAAAACAACCCGAGGAAAGGATGTCACGTCAGCTCAAATCTGAAAAAGGGTCGAGCTGAAGCTTGAAAGACAAAGCATCCCTTAGATGTTTTTTCATCTTTTGATCTTGCATCTGTTATAATTTTTAAAAAACACAGCACCAATGTAATAAGCTATAGAAATACAAAAGGAAAATGATTTTACAAAAGAATGCATACCGGTCGAGCAGCAGCATATCCACCAGTTCCTGCACTTGAAAATCCAGTTGAAGGTGGAGGCTGACTACGAACTGGAACAGATATTAGAAACCACTGACTTAGAACATATTTCAAAATGAACTTATTTCTGTATTATAATTAGTACAAAGCATGTGTCTGTATTACCTAAGTTATCTTTTCTTTGTGTTCCAGGACTTTTTTGTGCTTTGAAGCATGGGAAAAAAAAATCAGATTATCTTTGTTAGGTGAGATACAAACCGGTATTATAAGTTATGATACATTATCACTAATGGAAAGGGGAGCAAAGAGACATTAGTGATTTCAGTTATTACAGATTAGAGTCTATCAATCAGCTAAACTGCTACACTAGTGCACTCTTACCCTACACTGTACCTGTGAAGTAATTTGACCCTTCTAATTGCAAGTTAAGTCAAATCACCTCCTGTTTGTTGCAAGCTAAAGATGTTGTACAGGTATCCTGTGTTCTGAACCTTGCTAGAAGCAGTTGTTTTCTTTGTACTATATCCTGTAGATATTCTAACAGCAGTCTTTAAAACAGAGAGAACTCTTATAACATACTAATTCAAAAAAATCACACGATCAGAAGTGTACATCTGTAATTAAATATGGTTCAGCAATTCAGCAAAAAAAAGGGTCTACGCCAAATTTTCTGAACCTACTTTCTTTGCTTATAGGATAAATATACACCAACCTCAACTTTTACACGCTGGTACTCATGACAACCTTGTATTCAGATTAGTGCACAATTTCTAACAGGTAAAGAGGTTTAGGATTCAGGCTTGTGTTTCAGTTGTCTATTTTCCAGGAAGGTAAATCACCACATCATTTAAAGTAACTGGAAGGAATACTCTGTGGTGCATAAGACACTTTATCAAATCAGCTTCCAGATGACAGACAATCCTGCTTTCTTAGATCCAGTTAGAATGAGTTTCTGGATCCAGTTCTCAGTAGATACAACTTGTACCAGAATAACCTGGCTTAGTTCACCCTACTTTGAGAAGGGGGTTGGACTGAGATGACCACTAATCTACCCTATATATATCTTGTGATTTTGGCAATACTTCAGAATGAACCAGCCAAAATTCACTATGGCATATAGGAGTACATTCTGATTGTGACTATATTAGGACTTGCACTGCCATACCTATGTTTACTACAAAGAGTAAAAACCTCAAACTCTGCTGCCAAAGCTAAAACAGGACCCATTCAGAACCATATGCACATACTCCAACTAGAATCATGCAAGAAAAATGCTTATCATAAATGTATGTCACATACATCTAGTTCCTAGAACTACATACTTCATGCTCTTTAAAAAGAGACAAAATATGAAATTATAGGCTAAATTATTTGAATGGAAATTTTTGTCAAAATACATGAGTATGTAGTTCTTCATGAAAAAATTTAGATTCCTAGTTTTGTTACACATATAGTATTTATTCCAGCAATCAGTCAGTTACATCTTCCTTTGAGAGTCTGCCTTGAAAGCAGTCTTGATTAATGCAGTCTAAGTTTTCATTTCATTTTTTTGTAATCGAAGACTGCTTCTATAACAATTCACACCATCACTGATAAAGCAACTCACCTTTCAGAAAAGTATGCTAAATAGAAGAAAAAATACCCTATATAATAAATGCTTTAATGAAACTGTCTTTAGTATCACAAGAACAACATCGCTCAGGTATTAAAATCGAAATTTATTTCTAGAATACAAAAATTGTTATGTTACCTTCTACTTCTCTCTTAGCTACCCCAGGACTGGGAGGAGCTCCAAGACCTTTTCAGAGAAAGAAGAGAAGCTGTACATTGCATAAGAAAAGCAGTAGATTGAGAAAGTAAAAACAGAAAGGATACTGCTCCAACACAGCTCTATATAATTTAAAAAAGGCCTAGCTAGATTGTAGGTACTTAGGGAAGAACTGTTTGGAGCAACATGGGGAAACCAGACTGATAGGAATTCGAGATCAAGTAAGATTATGTTTAGAAGCACTTTAAACTACAGTTGAAAAAGATTTTAATTTCTTCAGTATATGCTCTCCACAACATTTTATAAATTCAAAATGATAATAAATGTAATTCTTGGAATTCTTTTTAATCAAAACACATATCTATACTTCAACACTCGAAAGCAAACCTACATCACTTATACTCAGCAACATTAGGCTTGCTTCCAAAAATTTGGGAGAATAGTATATATTTCCGACAAGACTACATCTGAAGGAACAAATTAATGGAATAGATCAGGTTCACATTTTATATAGTGTATTCTATCATCCAGAATTATATCATTATTTCCAAGCAGCACTCTGTACATCAGAAAGCCATATCAACTCACACAGAGAATATCTGCAGTTAGATGTTGATGTTCACACTGAGAGAAAGAAGATTTTTAATCATGAATAATCACGCTGAATTATTTTGATTCTGTAATATGATCAGGCGCACACGGAGTCCATAAGCTTACATGATAAAAATAGAGCAGGGCATAATAACATCAAATGGTATGAAAGGAGGAATCCTTAAGGTGTGCATATAGGAATAAGTAAAAGTAATATCTGGCAACTCTCAAATGGCTTTAGCATAGATGAGGAGAAGGGAGCTGGTGTTCAGGAAGACTACCTTAAAAGCAACTTTTGCCTTAGCAATGATACAGACTCGTGTTTTTCTAATCGTGTGCTAATGTGTGTTATCTGCTCAGGAGCTCTTTATGATCTAGAAGGAGTGCTGTAAGTTTTGTCAAATGTGGGCTGAAGTGTCACTCAGAGTAGGAAGATTAAAGGCTGCAGATGAGGCTGGTATGTTACTATCTTCAGAGATGCCGAATATCTGGTTTTGATGAACATCTGCTTCCAAGATGTTCCATACTGGCACATGATATATTCTGGGTGAGTTCCAGGTTCTACCAATTAACCTTAGATTTCCATTGCAAAAGTTTCTAACAGCAAACTTTTCAGAGAGAAACAGCACTGCAGAGGGATGAACAAAGAAAATAGGGGGACACAACAGGAAATGTTACTGCTTTCATATATATTCATATATATATATATATATATACATATATATATATAATATATATAATATATATATATGCTACCCAAGGGTGCACTGGGGAAGAAAAGACTGTAGTAACCTTGAGGCTATTAGACCTGCTGATTGGAGAAAAAACAGGGCAGCGGAGAGCATTCCCAAGGAATACAGGATGCTCCTCTAACTTTATCTGTTCCTTCAAAAGTACTAATGGAAATGGACACAATAAAGCCTCTCCAGGAGCAGGGTTAGGTTTATGAAGCTCACCTCAGCCCATACTTTGATCAGATATCTTCAGGATTGTCTTGTTAAGTAAATCTTGCTTTATGCAAGATGATTAATCAAGTCAACTCCTTTCAAATGAAGAAATGGGAGGAACCTCTGGCCATAAGCACACAGACCTGTGTTCCTATGCTGATGCACCATACAGCTTGAAAATTGCAGCTTGCTATAGTATTTTGCAGGTAAATATGCTACACAGTTATTTAACAACAGAGTTTTAAGGAAAGCGGTTTGATTTATCAAAAATAAATCTGTAACTTTTGCCCTGACATCTTTTAAACAGAACTGCATGTTTTGCAAAGATTACATTTATTGATTAGCTTAGTGGAAAATAAAACAACTCCAATCTTTCATTAAATTAAATGCATGGGTATGTATATACGTGTGCATATACATACACACAGATGTGGGGCCTGTATACATATATGGGCACATATATAAATAGCTATAGATAGATAGATGGAGTCCTGCACCTGGGTAGGAGCAATCCCAAGCACAAATACAGGCTGATGGGCAGAGAATGCATTGAGAGCACCCCTGAAGAGAAGGGTCTGGAGGCTGAAAAAGTCAGCATGGGTAGAAGACTTGCACTTGGAGCTCAGAATGCCTGTTGCATCATAGGCAGCATCAAGAAGAGGAAGATCAGCAGGGCAAACAAAGTGACCATTGATTTCTACTCTACTCTTGTGAGACTCCATCTGGAGCACTGCATCCAGGCCTGGGCCCCCCAGCACAAGAAAGATGTGGAGTTGTTGATGTGAGTCTAGAGGAGGGCACAAAGATGATCAGAGGGCTGGAGCATCTCTCCTTTGAAGACAGGCTGAGGGAGCTGGGCTTGTTCAGCCAGGAGATGGCATCAGGGAGACCTCACTGCAGCCTTCCAGTACCCAAAAAAGGCCTACAGAAAAGCTGGAGAGACTCTTTATCAGGGTGCGTAGTGATAGGACAAGAGGTGATGGCTTTAAACTAAAGGAAAGGAGATTTAGGGTAGATCATGCATGTCCAATCCATGGCCTGGCCCCTGCCTCTCAATATCTGCCCCCAGTTGCTGCAGCAGCAGCTCTGCACCACCGAGTGGCCCAGCCCAGCCCCAGGAGCACACTCACTGCTCAGCAACAGCCAGATGTCAGTGCGGTATTAGCGCAGGAGGAAGAAAATGCCATCCAAAATCTCTGACAAACACCTGGAGAACTCACTAAGAGTTGCAGCCACTGCCATCCAACCGGTCTGGTGCATTGGTTTCACGAAAGTAAGGTCACATATCCCACTGGTGACATGCTTTTGTTGCTTTCTCTCTTTTTTTTTTTTTAATAAAAAATATCGAAGATTAAAATGTTCTGTTATTTATATACGTAAACTATATTATATATTTTATGAGGGCTGCTCCAAAAGTAATGCTTTCTGTTTTATGATGTTGGCCTATAGTGTCAGAGGGGGATGTTGGTGGTTCCCAACCCATTTTGTTGCCATGTGACAGATGGTAGCAGAGGGGTAATCTGACACAACAGCATCTGATATGGATGTGCAGACAAAGCAATAATGTGGAATTGAATTCCTCCATGTGGAAAAAATGGCATCCACTGACATTCATGGACGCTTGCTGAATGTTTCTGGAGATCAAACAGTGGATGTTAGCATAGTAAGAGGTGAATGGTGCATTTCAGCACTGGCAATATTGGTTCATCTTCACTAGTGCAGTTGGTTTTTTTTTGTTTGTTTTAAACAAGTGCAGCATGCAGACTCCTATTCATTGCTGGAGAAAACGCAGAGCTGATGGTAGCGACTACGTTGAAAAGGAGTTTTTTGTACCTGAGTATTTGCTCTATCAAATAGTGAGATTGTGCTACAACAGTTGTAGTTTCCATGGAAATAAATAGGAGGCATTACTTTTGGAGTTACCTTTGTGTATGCGTCCCAAGGCAATTCCTGTTCATTCAATGCAGCCCATGCAAGCCAAAAGGTTGGACGCCCATGGGTTAGATGTTAGGAGGAAATCCTTTCCTCAGATGGTGGTGAGGCGCTGACACAGCTGCCTAGAGAAGCTGTGGTGCCCCATCCCTGGAGGAGCTCAAGGCCAGGTTGGATGGGGCCCTGGGCAGCCTGAGCTGGTGGGCAATATCTCTCTCCATGGCAGGGTATTGGAACAAGGTGATCTCTAAGGTTACTTCCAATCCAAACCATTTTAAGATCCTGTGTATGCATACCTGGGAAATCTAGGCTATTTGCTTACATTTGAACAGTGCAATAACTGCTTTGGCATTAAAGCTTTTTGTTTCCTCTGTTGCTGAACACTACTTCTTCAGCAGAAAAGGAAGGAAAGCTCAATTTTTTTTTAAACCGTAAAAAATATCTTCTTCAAAATGACTGTAATGTCCCATATTCTAATGTATTTAAACAACATCAGCTCTGTTGTTTTTTTTTTTTTAAAGTGACAGGAAAAATAGAGATGTTGAATGGTTCTTGAAAGGTTTTTAACATGTGACTGTAAATATCAATGTACACTAACCAGTATTTGCTGCTTAGGTGCATTTGCTTTTGCATCTTAGCATATTAGCATTTCTTTGCATATCAATCTTGCCACTATATTTTCTAGGCTTATAATCTTTATTTAGAGGATTAGGATCACAACAAAGAGGTAACACGTTACCCAAGTGATTGCATATACTGAAGATACTGTGCATTCTCTCAGTCTTAATCCTGTTTTAATAGTTTAAACCAGTGATAAAAGACAACTATCAGCCTTTCTTGCATTAATCAGGAAATGTTTGAATATCACTAATAAAGGGGAAAAAAAGCAAAACAGATGTTATTAACTTCAAGTAACTGACAATAGCATCTCATTTTAAATATTCCCTAAAAATTTATAATGCAGTACAGCATCTTAATTTTGAACTGTAAACAATTGGGAGCTTATAGAATCCTCAAAATGACATTAGCAGGCAAAAAAACCTACGCTTTGCAAACCTCTACAATTAACCTGTAGTTTTGGATGCATTATTACTTAAAATCTGAATTAATTCTGATACAAAGTATGACCAAATTCTAAAAAATTTCTTGAATGCATACTGAGCCACGAGAAGAAACATGATGGGCACTGAAGGGACTGAACCCCTCAGAATAAAAGGTTAGAACGTAAGGGGAAAAATAGCTAACATTTAAAATGAATGACATTTCAGATATACGAACAATGTTGTTCTGCACATTCTATAGAAGTCATACACTTCTACAGTACATGGGGGTATTTTAACAGTGTTTTAGGAGCGTGCATTCTAGATAAAAGAAACAGATGCCATTTACACAAGCACTGTGACATTTACACTCTGCTTCCAGTCCTGTGCTAACTTCCTCTAAACTAAGCTCAGGTACTGCTGAAAAGCAAAGCGTCAGTGCCTTACAAATGTGCTCCATGAGTGGAAAACATGGAGGATAGAAAAAGTAGAATGAGTTTTAAATCAGAATAATATATGAAAAAAGAATATACTACACTCTTTTAAAAGACTGCATAAAGAGCAAATTTTATGCAAGCTGTCATTTTGCATAAAATGTTATATCAGAAAAGAGCAGGAAATGAAGGCTGGTCTTTGCATAGCTGAAACTAGTCAAACATGATTGAATCAATGCACACAAAGCTATATAGGACTGAAGTAGTATGAATTGAATCTCACATATGTTGTGCATTATGTATATACTATTTTCTAAAGCTTAAGTATTTCAATTAATTTGAAATATTATGACTTAGGCATAATAACCCCCTATTCTCAATTTAATCTAAGAGCTGTGCACATCTCTGGCACAATAGAATAAGTAACATTTATAGACTATGTGAAATGATTACTTCTTTTAGAATTGTTTTCACCAAAAAACCTTGTTTCCTACCAACTGAGTGGCAACACCTGAATAACCATTAAGAAAGTAGTCCAGAGACTCACTGTATTAACAAAGTGATTTAAGTCCCTGCAAGACAGCTCAACTACAGGGCAAGTGTCAAAAATGGACAAAGATTAGTTTCAAGAAGCACTCTGAGAACAGGTGGGTTGTTATAGCATGCAAAAGCAGATCAAGCTGGAAAAAATAAAACCAACCTGAAGAGTTTAAGACCCTCAGCGTTATTAAAAGAAAAGGAATTAGGAGAAAATTATTTCAGGATTTTGTTTCTTTGTAGACTCGTATCTCTTGAGTACCTTTAAAGTAATTGCGTAAATTCCCTTGCTAAATTTGTACTGCTGAATTACATACTAGTTCCAAGAACTATGAGTGATGTTTCCTAAGCCTAGGAAAGGCTTAGGAGCACATTTGGATACTTGGAAATAGCAAATAAACTACGCAGATGTGAGTGTTCAGCCTAGAAACATATACAGCTCAGTGATTTGCAGTTCTCTGCAAATGTGATCATCCAGAGGAAATCTGGCCAGACTTTAGCAGCAGTTTCAATTTGAGCAATTAATGGGTAATCGCTCTAAGCAACTACTATCACAACTCAATTCACAACGTGCCTTATCACGAACAGCAAGGGTAAAAAAAAAAATAAAAATCTATGTCTTTCACAACTACCAACAAGACAGCTTTCATTGAAAAGTTAGTTGGGTATGCTGTGACCAGGACAAAGAACAAGATAGAAACACAGAACAGTGCTAATCTGAGTACAGTGTACCAACTTCTGGAGAAATATAGTTTTGTTAAAAAAATCAACTGTAATTCAGCAGAGATACAAATACTGAGAAATAAAAATGAACAATTTTTAAACACAAATATAATTTCTGCCTTTGGACATCAATATTAAGTATTGTCAAAAGAGACCATTGAAATTTTGCTATATAGTCATATTTGAAAACAATTAAAATCATTACCTCCAAACTCCTTTCTAGCAGGTGCAGGACTCCTACCGCCTTACAGTATTTAAGAAATGAATGCAGCAATAATGAAAAATATCAGTATAGTAAGAGGGAAGAAAAAGAATGAGAAAGTTAAAAATGACAAGGGTCAGTGTGTTAGTAACTCTGCTGCCTGTATGCTTCTGGACATCCAGTTTCTCTTAACACACAATTGTTTACATTTTCAGATGATCCAGATGAATACTATATTAAGAACTCAGACATGATAAAGTACTGATGTCAAAACTAAAGGAATACAAATAAATGACTGCATATGTTTCTTTATCTTTTGTATAAAAATTAAGATGCTATACAAAAATGAAAATACTGATTAAACAATGCTATGGGAAGCCCATGTTTTAGAGCTGTAGAAATTAGTTTGTGAACATTATAAAACTCATTCATTAAATAAAATAGTAATTAAATGGTGCTGAAAAACGCCGTTACCTCAACATCATAATTTGGCTACTAAATGTATCAACTAAATATCTTACTTAAAATCCTCTGGTGAGGTTGTGTTGAGCCTCAAACCATAGGTGCTTTGGGTCTGGAACTTCAAAGCTCATCTCACAGAGCCGGAACAAAATATTCCCAATCTCCCAATGTGTGTCACCACGTTACCTGATGGTGGAGGTGGCCTCTGTGGTGGAGCAGGACGTGCAGGAGGAGCAACAGGGCGAGGTGGTGGAGGGCGCCTGGGCTCCAAGGTCTGAGAAGTGTCTTTCTGCTGGGTACCAAGTTGAGTTTCATCTGGAGAATGTGACAGAAAACAGCGCAAAGATTAATCACTTGTGTATTCTATTCACAGTTAAACTGCTGTAATAATAAATTATTTCCACAGAAAGGATGGTCAGTTCCCAGAACTGCAAATGCAGTGATACAGAAGTAGTACCGAGGTTTGGAGAGAGGGGAAATAAATTAAACCAACAGTGAAAATAGGCAGATTTTTGTCTCATGCGCTTTCATAAGAATGTGCTTTTCAAGATTGAGGTGGTTTACCCAAGGCTACCTATATGTAAAATGCAATGACAAGAATAGCCTTTTTTATTACTCTAGAAGGGCTATTAAAAATTACCTACAAGCAAGTATTCTGCCACTAGGCCATTCCACTGCCACACCATACAGTAGCTGAGGAAGTTGAGCAACATAACACATACTGTGTGCGGAAACTGGTGGTCCAGGAGTTTTTGCTGGGGCTCGGCTTGGTCTCACTGGGATTGTGGGTCCATCTGACAGTGTAGGAGACTGACAGGGACTGGAATGTGGTGAGGAGCTTGGGGAGGTTCCAAGGCCAGAGCTTAAGGTCGGCTGCAGGTGCTGAGGAAGGATTTCTTCTACTTCAGCACTATAGTCATCAATGTCACCTAGATAACCATGACCCAGAAAAGAAAAAAGCATGTCAAATTAAGGGAGCTGTAGTTACTTATTTTCGTAAGTGGGAAAATTATCAACTGACTGTGGATGTGGGCTTTTCTGCAAAAAGCCCTCGATTTTCTGAAGAAATTTGCTCAGGGAATACAACACCACAAGAAGTGTCACCAGGCAAGGTGCCTTTGGCATACGCTTAGTGGAAAAACTGTGAGAAAGTACATAGTTAAAAAACATGCAAGTGAAAAAAAGCAAACTGCAGAGGTGTGAGGAATGCAAGAGTGATATTTAGCAGCTCAAGGATTTCATTACAAAAACAATGACAGGAAAAAAAAAAGACAGAAACAAGGAACTGGAAAGCAGCAAATGAATGCTGAAGATGAGCCTGTTCCAAGGAGCAACAGAGGATGAAGGCTTATTCATCCAGTTGATACTTGCCTGCCTTTAAAAGGTTCATCAGGTGTTTGTTAGGAGTGGGGTAAGTGTATCAATACTTAGCATGGGAGCTCATTAGTCCTATCTGTTATATGGCCCCAAAATAATTGCTTTGTAACCTGAATTTGGATACTTATAGACCGTCTCCATAAAAACATAAAAGCTGCCTGAATGAACTGATCCCTGTGACACTGTAGGATCAAGTGAAAAGAATAAAAAGACTGAGTAAATTAGTAAAACTTACATGTACAGTGCATACAGTGCAAACTGCCATCAGAAATGGCTCAATAAACTAGCAAGACCCTATTGGAAATTAAAAGCTTTTTAATTACCTGTTTCTGCTAGGTATATGCTTGTTAAATTACAGTGGCATTAAATTAACTAGATTAGTTAGAACTACAAGCATTTCAAAAATAGTATTCTATTCCAACAAACCTTCCATATCATAGTCTGCAGTAACCTCAGCGTCTTCACAAAGCAAGGTGGAACTTGTTGATGAAGGCAGCCCAACATTAATCTTCTCTAGATTCATTTCATCCTCCAAACTTCTGATCCAGTCCGGATTTTTTAAACTTATGTTTATAATCCTTCCTAGTATCTGAAAGGCCATAAAGGTACACATAAAACAAAAATTGTTAAAAATAGGGATATTAAAATTCAGCATTCTGCATTAAAAAAAAAATAATAATATTATGAAAAAAATCACAAGTTACCAGAATTTATGGGACCAAACAATAACAGTGACATTTCACAGAAAAATAATTATAATTTTCACTTTATTTTTCTAATTAAGTGCATCTACATAGTTTAAACCATAAGGTCCTGAGCAAGCTGATGTAACTGCACATGTCCCTGTTCACTGCAGGGGAGCTGGGCTAGATGACCTTCAGCAGCCCCTTCCAACTCTAATTATTCTATGAGTCTATCACTAATTGCAACTATACTTAATGTTTTTCTAAAGTAAACCAGAGAATTTGTCTATCAAAATTTTTTCTTTTCAGTTAACAGGAAAGCTTCTGGTTTCTTTGTTCTGACAGAAAGATTACTTTTTGTAAAGGAAAATAGATTTCGTATTAAACTGTATTAACAAAGTCATTATTAGATTGATAAACAGCCATCATTCTTCAAAATGATACATGACAAGGAGACCCTACAATACATGGATTGTTGGTGAAAATCTCAGCAGATATGAAGATCCATCTGCAAATATCACTCTACAGAATCTAAGTTTTAACAGAAGTGCAGCTGAGTAAAAATTTGAGTGTGAAATCTTAAATTTTTTACAAAAATGAAATACTGGCACTAGAAAAGTCAAAGAAAGAGCTGCAATCACTTAGATATGTCAACACTTCAATACAGGAATGCTCACTTCTTACAGATAGTAGGCTATAAAAATGATGAACTAGTTCCTGCCACAAATTTGAGGTAAAAGCTGTGCTATATAAATCATTAAAGAAAAAAAATATATATTTTTTAAAATCCTTTTTTGATGAAGACATCCCTAAACATAGGATCTTAATTTTCCTAATAGCCCTTATCCCAAAACTAAATTAATCTTATGACTTTCTTATGTCGGTTTTTGGAAGACTGTATAAATGCTATGAGGCTATCAAAAGCAGAAAAAAGACTAGATGTAACAGTCTAGTGTAGAACATGAAAATCTTGTAAAAATCAAACCGAAGACAAAGCAGTGCTTAAAAATACTTCTCTTGGTATAAGAAAGTTTAGTAATTTTTACATTACCTCAGTACCATTCAAATTCATAACATTCAAAGCAGAGCTTCCTTCCAAAAATGTTACCCACATCTTGTCTGCCACGAACCTGCAAAGTCCATCGATAAATACTTGAGAAACGATAGGCAATAATCTTTTATCCTACCTACAATCATTTGAAGCCTCTTAGCTTAAAGGTCTGTCAATGTTCACATATATATGTATATACATATAAATATATATATATATGCATACAGGCTAATGAGCTTTAGCAAATGAACCCTTTGGGGAAAAAAAGCTGAAGAAATTGATAAGTATTAGACAGAAACCACTGTCATTTTAAGATTATGCAACTTCAGCTATACAGTTTACATTCAAAATTAACTGTGTGGCTAGAGGTTAGGAATTTGTATCAAGCATTTCACATTAGATCGAACTGTGCTCTAGGATTCTAGAAAAAGTCAATGGGCTCCATTAACAGCTAAGTGAAAACAGCAGTCACAGGAATCCTCTCACGTTCAGTTCCTTAAAAACTATGGAGCTAATTTGTTCAAAATCATACATATATTAAATTTTAAGTCTGATTTCCAACAAAGTATGATGCTATGACTCAAAAATAAAGATGAGAAAAAGTTTGAAAACTAAAATGCATATAGTTATGTAAAACTAATCTTCTGCTCCTATTAAAACTGGAGTTGAAAACTGAACATTAAAAATGAAGCAGATCAGAACTGAAATGCCCACTAAGACACTTAATTCAGGAAATAAAAAGGAAAATTGCAAAGGAATAGAGATTAAGAATAAAAGGCTTTTTTAACCTTATAAGTATAACTTCTCCATAGCTTGCAAATTTTTGAAGAAGATCATCAATCAAGTTATCATCAAAGTAGCTTTCTTCTGCTGAAGAACTTTTGATGGAGACCATTACTGTGCCATCAGGTGGGCCCTGTGTTGCAATCACCTCTTTATAAACCTTCTGTCTCTCTTCTGCTTCAATTTCAAATATGTCAATGTCAATCAACGCCACCACAGGCCTTGGGGAAAAAAAAATAACCAGAAAAAAAGGTTGTAATCAGAGAAATAAGATGCCTTAAAATTAAATTTTCAATGATTAGGAAGTAATGTATAAAAAAAACTGAAACCTATGATCAGATGTCTTCAACTCTGCTCTTCCGTAGTGCAACAAAGTACCAGGATTCCACGTATAAGGGACTTTACTGTTATCATGAAAGCTAGCATTCAGAAGATCCAGGTCTTCAGCTACATTCAATATTAATGAAAACAAAAGGGGAAAGATACAGTGATTGCAGGAACATGATAAAAAAAAATCCAAGTAAAAAAGAAAGAAAGAAAGAAAAAAAAATTAGACCAAAACCAAGCATTTTACAGAAAGAAAAAGTTCCTTTTGAACAAGTGAAATGTCAGTAACTATTGTCTGTCTCACGATCCACCTGTTCAGTGTCACTCTTGTGTATAAAAAATTCTGTTAGAAGCTTTCTGCCTGGTACAAAGCCAGGGAGACAAGCTCAGAACTGCTGGCACTATGAATGTCACTAACTAGATGCTGTACACTGGTTAAAAGAATATTTAAAAAAATTTAAGGAAGCACTCAAACCTGATCGGTCAAAGGGCCATTTTCTTCTTCTCCAAAGAATACGATCTGTCCACGCTGGCGTGCGACACTTTTCACTGGTGTCGTAGTCATCAGAAAACAGATCGTATTTGTACGTAGGAGCAAAATTTATTTTCCCCTCCAAAAATCCCCTAAAAATCTATAAAAAAAAAACCAACAATTATGTCATGCCAGAAGACAGAAACAGATGGGAAACAGCTTGAAACTAATCAAAATTCTCTTTTTTTAACAGTGAAAACCTGTATAGACATCTCCAAAAAAAAAGGCATTTGATAATATGAACCGTTTTCCAAATTTTATTTACTGAGAGCATTCTACATCTGCCACTATGACTAAACAGCAACCCAGACAGATCATTAAACAGAAATATGTCAACAATTATGTCTTGAAACCCAGACTCCTCAGCAACATACTGTTCCTCCAATATCATGCAGAACTTCAGGCCTTCAAGATGCTGTCCACAGCACTTTAATTAGTTGAGTAGTTGCTCATTTGTCAGCAAAGTTGGGAACTGTGATTATATTTTATTTACCTTTCTGAACATACACAGCATATTCAGAAAAGCAAGTGCCTTGTGGAAATTAATAAGAGTTAAAAAACAAATGAACAAAAAACCTCCAACAGACTTTCAAATCAATACATATGACATGATGTGAAAGATTAAAGAAATACTATCACCATTTCCTTCGATCACCTGCCCAGCATTAACAGATGAAGCCAGCAAACACAAGACACTAGAAGGCCAGAAGATTTGTGCGCTCCTGCAGTGTTCAGATTACACATAAGCTAAGACCCTTTAGTTAATGGAATCGGGTCCAAACTACAGTCTACTCTTGCCCCAGCATTTAACTTGACTATAAACCTAATATGGACCTTACAGCCAAGTCTGTATCAAACAACAGAGTGCTTCTCCACTATTCTTAATGCGACGATATATTTAAGATACCTGTCCAGAATTTTTCTGATTGATAAGCTGGTCTCCTGCTATAAGGGAATCCCAGTTTTGTTGTCGGATTAGTTCCTTAACCTCCTCATTAGGAATATCTATTCGATAATTAAAGTCACCACACCAGAAGATGTAGTCATGGGAAAAAAGCATCCTTCCCTGTAAAAGAGAAGCACACACTGAAGTTAAAAAACAATCAAGTGACAGAAATTTACTAGTTTCAGGTGCAGTACAGTTTAGGAGATGTTTTTTTTTTTTTTAATCATAAACTTTTTATTACTTCTATCTGATTAGGACAAGTGTTAGTGTTTAGCATCCATACGGTTAGAACCAATAACCACGGGTATGTTATTCACACATGCATGAGATGAAAGGAGATAAGAACACTTTCTATGCAGTTCGCATTTCTAAAGAAACATGAATCATCTGAATTGGATCCCATGAATTCTTCATCTGCTATCTGTGTCACAAATACTACCCTGAGATCTTCTGGCAGAATATCCTGGCACAAACTGCAAGCTTGTTGTTATTCAGATTTAACTGCAGATTTTTCAGTTACATACAATTTTTTGAGGCTAGGGACAGACAGAAGAGCTCTTTTAGTTCTAAGAAGGCCTAAGGCTTGAATGAAAATTATTATTTTGTTTTGATTTTTTCATTGCCCCTTAAATAAATCAAAGCAAATGAAGTAGATTAAAACAGCAGTATTTACAAAACTGTTTCTGGAAACCCTAAAAATACAGTAAATTCAAGAAAAACTAAAATAGAACAAGGGTGAAAAATTTAGAAAAAAAAAACACAATAAAATCAGATGTCAGTTTTCTGCGCAGTGTCACAGAAGCTAACAATTGCATCTTAAGTCAGTTTCGTCTCAAGCAAGTGTTGAAATTACTATTTATTTGCTATTTGATAAACTTTTATGAGAATAAACTACAGAATTGTATGTCTAATTTGACAAAACTAAGTTAAAAAGAAGCTAAGATGAGCTAGCAAAAAAAAAATCATTATTGTGTACTGAAAACAGAGCTGTTCCCATAGTTGTTTTTTTTCCCCCCTCATAATTGATTAAGTTTAGAATCTACAAAAGTTTCACAACATCTCAGGAATCTCTAGGCTCTCTTCCCTATGCTAAACCCTCAGACCTCTATCTTTTCCATCAGACATTGCTGTGGAAAGCTCTATTTTTCTCTAATCTTCTGTTTCAACAAAAATTGTGGGAATTTATTTTTATCTCTGAGACCTCTAATCCACGGAAAGTTGGAAATTCCCCAAAGGCATCTGGGAAGGGGAGAAAAACAAACTTCTGGATGATGCTGCTGGTGCTCACAAGGGGTTTAATTTCTCATTTGTTAAGGAATTTGAACACTATTGCTTACCATTGGAAAACTGAGCTTGCGAGCTATTTCTATGAAGTCTTCATTTCTTTCTTTAACTTGTGATTGCCCTGCAGCAAAATGGCTGCAGACAAAGCAAAGACTGGATGTATGAAACAGCATCCGAATTGCTACTGCACCTTTATTACCAGTGGCTCCTCCCATGCCAGTCTTTACAGTATCAACAGCAACGTCTCTGAAAGAGTTAAACAAACATTAAACCTTCAAATCATAAAATCATAGAACATCCAAAGCTGGAAGAGTCCCACAAAGATCACTGAGTCCAACTCTGAGCTCCACACAGCACCATTTGAAATTGAAATCCTATGCCTGAGAGCACTGTCCAGATGCTCTTTGAATTCCTGCACTGGGGGCAGCCTGTTCCATGCCCACTGCCCTCCAGATGAACAGCTCTAAATTAGTTTAAGGAGGACTGTGTCCCTGAAAGATACTTTGTAAAGGAACTAAAGGATAACAATAGGATCTTATCTTGGAAAAAAATGACATTTTCACACTGTTATTTCAGCAGTAAGGCCAAAGAACTGTTTTAAGAAAAGTCAACAGCTATCAAGCAGAAATATATATTTTCAAGCCTTCTAGTCAACTGATAAGACATTTAAAGCTACAATAAAAGAATTTAAGCGGCTAGTTCTCTGTCTTGGAGCCCAACACATTTCTCAGTACATCAGTGTGCAATACCCAACAAACTGCAGGTGACCCAGCCCTGGGCACAGCTGTGCATTCACTGACCTGATAAAGGGAGCATGCTGGGGCCTGATGAACACAAAGAGGCAGACGCCCACTAACTGCTCGGAAGCCAGCAGCACATACTTGTAATCTCTTGATATGGTCTTCTGAAGTTCTGCAGCCCAGAGCTTCTGATTGGTTGTGCTAGCAGTGAAATTAAAAGTGCCAGTTTTAAAAGAAAATAAATTAAGCAGGTATTGAGAGTGTTGATCTCATTCAATCACCTTCATACAGTAACTTAAACCAGACACTGGGAAAGCAGGTCAAAGCAAAGCTGTGAATGTGCCTTCTAGCAGAGTTGCAGCCTAGAAGACTGTAGTGAAACTCATAAGACATTGCCTCACTTTTCAGAATAACATGGACTATATTAGAAACCAGGACTCTTTCCTATATTTCTGAGGCTACAGTAGAGGAGTAAAAGCTTTTTTGAGGAGTCACCTCCTAGCCTGGAGCTCAGTTAAATTCGGAAAACAAACGTCTGTGGTCTTAGATCAAGAAGAAACTTCCTTGAAGACATAAAGACCATGGTTCTCAGAGCAAGCATAGGATATACATGAAAAAAAGATCTAGAATCACTGCTAACTAAACAGAGTGCAAATTAGTGGATGAAACAAACTGTCACTTTGTCCTCAGGACAAAAGCTTCTGCAAAGGCACACAGTGCAATAGGCTTTAGATGTTGTTTTTTTTTTTCCTGATGAATTAAAGCTTGATAAACACCAGAAAAACATGCAAAACAGACAAACAAAACAATGAACAAAGTGAATATAATCCTAGGATTACACATGAAGATTTCATCACTGGTATCATCCAGAACTGACAAAGGTATATTTTCATATCCCACTTCACTAGGAGCAAAAAAACCCAACCCAAATCCCACAGTAACACATACATGCAACATATGCAACAACAGAGTTAAAAACAAACTACAAATAGATCACGTTATGCTCAGAAGTTACTTCTGCTTTTGACAATGACAAAAACTGATAGTATAAGAGGATGCACTTGTTTTATATAGACCAAAATTTGATGCCAGTCAGTACACAAAGGCATACCAACAACTCATGCCGTTGGAAAGGATTTCACAGAACTCACTGCTCCCAGCAGTAGGAAGGAACAGAGACTGCAGAACACTACCAGCATCAGACAGGAATTCTTTCATTGTGTTTAACAAAAAAAAAAACGCTCAGGAGCTACTGAACTTTTTCAGCGCATTCCAAAATACTACCAAGGATTGACTGTTTGGATCCTTGAGATTATTTTGAAGTAATCTCAAGTGTTCACAGCTTCACTAACAAAAGCTGAGATGATTCTGCAGTCTCAGTGCAGACACAGGCAGAGAGAACAGGGAAAATTAACATAAAATAATCCCAACCTTTAGAATTAAGGAGAAAAAAAATAGTATTATACTTAAGTCTGGCTGTCAGTGGAATTAATTTTGCGTAGATTTTATCACCTACCTTGCATTCACAATGTTTCCTGCATTTAACTCCACCATTTCTTCAAATCCAATGGCAAATATGTCTACAGGTTTGCTTCTTCGATCTGCATTTAAATATTGAAAAAGCCATTTGTTGGTTACAATTAACTCTGGAACCAAGACCTCATATTTGTATTCTAATGTTCACAGTCTCATTAAGAAAGAGAGTTTTCAATTAAAAGAAAGAAAAGGGGAAAAAAAAAAAAAAAGAAAGAAAAGCCAGACTACAAATCTTACCTTGGAATTCATGAATACCAGCTATGCTTGGTGCATCTAGAAGCCAGTCAGTGAGGGTCTGATTTTTAAAGGCAATACTTCGGAACTGCTTCCCCCCATTGACATTCCACGTCCCAACGCAGACTCGAACTTTCTTCGGTTTTGCATACTTATAAAAGTTCTCACACATACTCTTCAGCACTTTCACAGATGCTACAAAAACATTTGAAAATATGTTATTATTATATAGGATTTCCTATTTTTCCCTTTTTTCCCCCCATAATACTTGGCAATGAGATCTTTTCCTTAAAAAAAAAAAAAAGGCAATAAATCCATGCATAGACATACAGAAAGTTAAAATGTGAAAGCAAAATGGATGCAGCATTTCACCAGGTGAAGTACATTTGCAGACATTTTATTTGCCTGGGTAGGATATTGGCTGAATGAAAGATGGTAATAATTTGTTCAAAATTATGTATTATGTAACACATATGTATACTCATACATGCTACATATATAGTAATACACATTACTATATACATTTTACATAGTATGTATATTAGTTTAAAATTTACAGTCATATGTTATATAGATATAATATAGTGTATACATGTATTACTACACATAACTATATATTCACATTTCTCTACATAGTTATATATATATAAATATATCATACACATCTACCATTCTCTAACCTATCTATAATCCCTATGGAAATTTATTTTCAATACATGCCAGCACAGATATCTATCTCATTTACATAGATTGCATTTATGAAATTAGAATCTCATTAAACAACACAACAATTTGCAAACGATTTCTTGAAGTGAAAAAATGATTGAGGTAGATTCATTCACTAAAACAGACAAGGTAAATTATCTTATCAAAATATGTTCTTTTTAAATCACAAATCCAAATTGCTGTTTAGGTAAGTTGAATTCCTGAAATTCTGTTTTAATGAGGGAAGTAGGCTAGGGTTTAAAACCAACTTCTCTGCTACCTCAGCCTTTCTGTGCCTTGTTTCTATGTGACACATGGGAAAAAGAGTAGTAACCTACTTGTAAAGGGCACTGTGAGAAGAAAAATATATATATTTAATGCTGAAGTTCGAGGGATTTTGAAATTCCCTTCACAGATCTGCAGAATAACTATATATATTATATAAATGTATATTTCCTGAAATATACAGGCCTCTCTCTTTTTAATTATTCTATTTTTTTTTCTCTAATCGAAGTAGGAAAGAAATTGCTTTAGATGTAAACACTTTTCCTTGCACTGTATTTTACCCAAGCAAAATTAATTTATCTGCTTATAAAACCGTCACGGTCATCACTCTATGAGAATCATGGAAACTTCACTGGATGGAATTCTTTCCACCACTGTGTGGCGTCTGGCAGAACAGTCAATTACCAGTCAATCAGATCCCCAAATAGGATTACTAGTGAGCTGTGTCAAATTTTTGTTTGTTAAATTTTTAGCTATGCTTTTATATTTGTCACCTGTCCATTTGCTCCAGTATTTCGGCTACCCAGTTAAAACAAAAATCAAACACTGTGCTATGGCCACAGTGGTTCTAAAACAAACTGAAACTAATAGAAGAAAATACAATGTATTTGATACTTGTGAATAACTTCATTGTTGAATGAATCATATGTCTGTACGTGGGGTAACCACACACAAGAGCCAGCAAATTGACTGGTGTTGATGAAAGTAACGCAAGCAGATCACGTTTGCGATCACCCCATTAATTTCCTTACCATAGTCCAGGCAAATGAAGTCAACAAAACTGTAAGGAGTCAGCAAAATACCTCACACCTTCATAAGACAGCTAACTACCAAGGTTACTACCAGAAGTACCTACATGCTAAGCAACAGTCAAGTTAAGAAGTCCACCAAATGCTGCAAAAACCAATGAGGGTCAGGGAGAGAAATTACCCCAGAACTTGACCACTGAAATGAAACCAATCCAAGAAATGATAATGCCAGAATGCATGCAAGTACCCAAATCACCCAAAGGGTGAGCTGAACCCAAGGAATCCAAAATGGTACCACAGAGAGGCTCTAAAGACCAGCACAGATTAGTCTTTGTAGTGTTCCCAGCAAGTCTAAAAACTGAGCTTGGACTTCTTCACTTCAGCCCCCCTTCCTTTTTCTTTTGGCACTAACTTTGAGCTTAAACAGTTGCTCCAAATAATTCACATTTCCTACTGAACAAAATCAAATTACTGCCTACTGAACTCCTGGTGCTGTAACCAGTCCCTAATGTGAAAAGCACAGCGGAACAGAATGTAACTTCATCAGGGACCTGCCTGCATGCTTACTGCAAACATGAAATTGATACTGTTATAATAGAAAAACTTCTACATTATAGAATGAATTGTAGAATGACTCTTCATTCAAAATGAGAATAATGAAGGAAAACCAAGATATTTTCACCCTTTTTTCCAAAACAGTGAGTGAGACAATGTTTTTCAGAGCTCCTGAGCCTCCTGCATACACTATTTTCCTTCACATTTCTAGCCAATTATCCTTTTAACAAACAAGTTGTCCCACTCTACAAAACCAATAACACAATAAATTAAATTTTATGTTATCTTGTAACAAGAATGTTGTAACTGCAGTTCATACTAAGCAGGCACACATTTGGAAATGAATTTCACAGAAGGAACATTAATTCAAAATGCAACTGAACTCTTTCACTGCAATGTCCAAATTACTGCAGGCATTTTTCACTATATGCAATCTGTATCCAGATGAAGTCCAAAGTAAAATATTATATCAGTCAGCTAAAAAAAATCATCAACATTTACAACTCCTAGTGAGTCTCTGTCATTTATAAGGAGCTTCAAACACTTCCAATGTATCTCAACAAAAAATAAGTCAACAACTTCTTAAGTGCTTCTTCCAAGGATCCTCCCCATTCATTCTGCAGTACATGGGGCACATGGCTACTACCTGAGTATCCAAGTTCCATGGAGACTGTGCTGAAACCCACAATTCCTAAATAATTGTTCAAATAATTTTTTCAGTTTAGTAGCCTCCTGTTTTCACTCCCAGTGAGTTACCACTGAGTTTCACCAGATAGAGTTACAACAGCAAGGAGAAATTCCACTAGCTGATATCTCATTTTAAGCCCAAAAAACAATGTTCAAGATATTATTAGCATCATGTCTCAAGATTAGGAGTTAGCTATGATGGTCCCTCTTCGACTTTTCTCTTCACAGAGAGTTCTACCTAGGTGCTCTAATACTTTCGTGTTGCATGCAGAGGTAACTGTATCTCAGTAGTTTCGCCTGTACTTTTGCTCCACAAAAGCATGGGTCAGCACATTATTTCAGATCATTCTTGTACAACATAAGCCATTACTGGGAGATTAATACAGTCAGTCTCATGAAAGGACAAAAGCAGGTAGAGCCTTCTAAAGGCAAAGACGACAAAATTACAAATTGTACTAATGAGTTTTACCTTTTATCCCCCCAGAAACCAACCAGGTTTCACAAAACAAGAATCCTGAAGCTCTCAAATCAGATAAAAATGCAAATTCCTCTACAGCTAGAATAAATCATTTGCAAAAATAAAATAAAATAAAGCAACCAAGAACCAGCTGTTTTTATAATCCACACCCAAGCACAACTGTAACCTTTTCCACTTCCTTTTTTCACTTCTCTTGTATTAAAGAGACTTCCTTATATTATGGAATTTTGTGGCATAGGAACGTCAGGTCCAAATAATACAGAGAAAACGTGAGCCCAAGAACAAGTATTATGCAAATAGGCACGAGAAAAAAGCCAGAGAAGAACAGCTACTCAGATATTCACAGCTTAATTTCTATACTATACCTGATTGTAATGACTGCTCTGAAACTACGGATGCAGTAAGAAGGAAACAAGAGAAGAATTAGTTCAAACAGGCAATTGCTTAAAAAAAAAAAAATTCAGAGAGAACATGCTATAATATACAATTTATTATACATAACTTGTTCACATCAGTTAAAGCACATCTTTTATGCTGCAAAATCTAAAAAGTTTCACAACAGTACTGACAAAGTTTCCATTCTTGCCCTACTTATTCCTCACCTACTAGAAAACACAATGACCTTATGTTCTGTGAAGACTGACTCATTTTCTACCACTGACAGGAGCTGCAAATATCAAAAGGCCAGCTTGCATTCACAGAGAAAAGCAAGAAGGAACAAGGACTTTCAATTAGCCATGAGGCAAGTTTCTAGTGAAGGAAAAGTTACAACAAAATGAAATCTAATGGTAAAAAAAAAAAAGTGAGAGGAAAAGTCTTTTGGGTTACACATAGTAACTGAGATGAACACAAGATCTATACTACAACAGGGCAAGGTTTTTCTTGCACCACTTGCTACTTCCCTGCATGTTGGAGTTCCAAAAGGATGGGACACAACTGCACTCCTGAGGATTGCACAGGCTACACCTCTGTTTGGAAATGCAGGGTTCTGTGATCTATTGCCCTGTTCTCATCAGGTGAGCTAGATTCAGGTCACCATATCCTCTGCACCCCACATGACTGTGCCTAAGCAGAGTTTCTCATTGAAATCTCTCTCTGATTTTGGTACAGAATGTCACCCATTGCCTGACATATTTTGGTGGTGCACATGTTCATGGGAAAGGTCTCTCTACACACAAAAACACTTTTTTTTTGTGATGGAAACTCATTCACCAGGAATTTTCTAATAGCTCCTGTTATCTTAAATTTTCTTCTCTTAGGAAAATCCTCTTTGCTCCTCAAACCAAAACGATAAATACAATCAGTAAGCGCTCTTAAGTTAGCAAAAAAAAAAAAAAGAACAAATGGTTTGCATCTGGTATAACACCACAGTGAAGTTCTTCACTGACATGACAGACCAACTAAAGAAAGACATTCAGCAAACAATTGAAAAAACATTTTTAAAATAAACCAGGATTTACTTTTCCCCAAAATTCAACATGTAATTGTCATAGCTAATGCTTACTATAAAAGGATCTGAAGATGTGAACAAACCCTATTTCACATGCACCTACAGTAAAGTTCTGAGAAATACACTCCCCAGATATTTTCCTATTAAACCACCAGATATGAACGAAATATGAACAGTAAACAAATCACTGCAGCATATTAGTTTGGTAATATTAGTCAAGGAGAAGTAACTTTTACCTTTTAATAAGCCAACAGAACATAAAAAAGCAATTACACTTTCCAATACTGCTTTGAAAACAGACTCCATACAGCTTTCTTACACCAAATAGTTATCAGACAGATTAAAATCCTGAAAGACACATACCGCGTAAACTGCTGGTGGTTAAGAGAGCCCGTGCTTTATCTGCTAAATCACTATTTAGGGTATTTCCCAATAACAAAACATCAATGGCCTCCTGCTTGGAGCTATCAAAAAAGTTATTTTGAATCGTTCTGGTCACAGAACGAGCACCATCCTTCAGCTTTCCAGCCTGTTAGGGAGGAATATGTATAAAATATTTTATGTTGGACATTGCTCATAAAAACATTGGCAATATTCAGTAACATTTTTGTAAACCTCATTAATAATTTTAAAATCTAAGACAATTTCTATCCTTCTCTGTTAAATAAGAGCCTTCTGAGACTACTGTACTATACCCATTTTTTTCCCCAAACGCTAAACCACACACTAACACCTTCAAGACACATCTAAGAACCAGATGATTGCAGTTCAAATTATTTGAGTAAAATTCTACTGGAAGGGGAATATATATATGTATTTTTTCCCTAAACCCTTAGTCTTCAAAAATTAAATCAATATAATGCCATGTTTAGATCATGATACAGGATTTTGGGCTTTCCTCCAAATCGTGAAAAATGAACAAGCACTTAAGTCCATGTGTCATGATACATGAATATATATGCAGATGAGCATATTAATTCAGAATTCATGTTCTGAAATATCCATGTTACAGAAGGGATAGCTTCAATTTATTAAGACTTCTCAATGTTTTAAAGTAACATGCAAGTCTCATGCAGTATCCCAGAAGGAACATACGCACTAATCTATAGCTACACATGTATCAAGACACTGTCATTACACACACTGCACACCAGCAGTGCAATGGAATAGTGCTCCAGTAGAACACTGTCTAACAACCTGAAAAAAGAACCTCCAAGAGATGTACTGGTACTACAAATAGTATCTGTGGATCAGACTTATAGAGGATAATGTAAACAGCATGTCATGCAGAATCCTACTCGACTCAAAAGCCAGCAGCGTTAACCTGCGTGCACATCACTGACAATGACTTCACAGGCACAAAGATGTTTTCTTGATTACATGGCTTATCATATCTTATGTACACAAATGTATTTTACCTGCAAAGCATGTGTAAACACATGCTATTGCATGTACGTGAAATACAGATCACAATCCATCAGGGATGCTGCATGGTATTATTAAAAATGCTGTAAGGTTACAATTTGCATTGTTCATGGAGGTCTCTTAAATGCACATATAAAAAAAGACAAAAGCTTAAGAAAGCTACAAAATCAATCCACCAGTTAGTTCAATGGACTGTACTACGTAACAAGAAAAAATTACTCTTTTGTCAAGGATAAGTAGTAGCAGATTAGCAGCATGATTTTGTAAGACGATGTGGATGAAGTGGTAGGGAGCATACTATTGCAAAAGAATTTTAATAGGATGCTGCTCGTTTTCTGTCAGAAAATGAACGACTTAAAACATGATCCAAAAAACACACTCACCATTCACATATCAGGCAATTAATTGAAAGGAACCCAGAGAGAGCAAAAGAAAGAGTAGGTAAGGAGTTAGATGTAATGAGTATTATCATTCTTTAAAAAAAGGACTGTTTTTCAGTACATTAACATGTTTAAGGTTAAAATACATTCTCTCCTATCCCAAATTTCTATGTTTTTTCTTCTAAGTACTCTTGGATTTTGAAGAGTCAAACTGACAAACTTTTCATTTTAAAGTTGTTTTTCTCATTTCTCAAACAATATTTAAAATATATTAGCAGAGTGCTTACGGAAATACCGAGCAGTGACCTGGTCAAGTTTCACTGAAAGAATGGCAACTAATGGATGACTTTGCATTAGAGGTCCTCTTCACATTGACAGACTTCTATTTGGGATGCTGTCTTTGAATTATGGTACTCACTAACAACCTGTACCAGGAAGGGGACCCCAGTGACAACAATGAACTATTCTATATTATTATAAAAACAGCAGAGTAAACACACTCTGCATTTTACATGTTAAAAATTGAAGTGCAAATACAATAAATGCATTTCACAAAGTAAAAATTGTAAGTAGTTTAATGAACACCAGGGAAGTATTAATTTAGGAGAAGAAACAAAGTTGAATGGAAAAGTCAGGAGAAGGGGAAACACCCCATAAAATACTTACTGTAGCTTTTCTGAGGGTCTGGTTGACACAGAAAAGTAAAACTAAGTGTTTTTTAACAAAATTCCATTCTATACTATGATTAATTACCAAATGAGAAGGCCTTGATGCACCCATTAAGGGCAGAATTAGCAACAAGCCCATTTAGTTGTTTTCTTTTCACGTAGCTTACTTGTGATGCCTTCTACTTGTGTAGAGAAAGACCCTGATATGGTTTGAATGAAGAAACAGTGGAAAACAAAATAGTCAACTATGAATATGTAGTATATATGGATATGAGTTGAGCAGAGATCCCGTAATGAGAAGCAGTGTATTCTTGAATAAAAAGAATTGTATGAAAAGAGATTCTTGAAGGAACTAAGGGTAATAATAATCATGGTTCAATATTTTTTTGTCTTGACAAGTATTATGCGTAGAGAACTAGAGAAACAAAAAAGCAACATTGTTAAGAAGAGAAATAAGAGAGAGCATTAGGAAATTTGAACCACTCAGGCATCAACAAAAACAAAACAAACTGATGAGAGAGAGAGCATGACAATGCCATGTAGGACTGTATTTCATTGAAAAGAAAAGCAATTTCTTTTTAGTACACTAAAAAAGAAACAATTTGATGGTTTTGGGGGTTATTATTGTTTTTCCAGTAATTGCAGAATTAAAAAGAAATAGCTAGATGAGCATGCAGAGGAAAAATACCCTACCACAACCTGCTGAATTTCAGCACTGTTAATAAATGCTAGAAGCAGGAACAACAATGACCAGTGAAATACATTTGAGAAGCAAGGAGATGCACTGAATGAAACTAAAACAATAGAAGACAGAGGTACAGACAGAAAAGTGAAATGATCAAAGAGATTAGAGCTGATTTGAATATACATTTTTTTTAGAGCTATGATCAAAAGAAATCAAAGTTTTGAGCCTCATCCTTTCCTAGAGAGTAGTATCATCTGGGAAGCAGGGGCATGGCTAAGAAAGGATGTACTGAAACAAGATCTGGCTGTCAAGATAACCAAACATTTCTCATTAAATGCTTTTCTTTTTCCCCATTCACTGGCTTATTAAGATTACAACCAAAGCACACTTTTCAAAAGATAGTTCTTAAATCCATGACAGAATCTTAAAAAGAATAAATACACATTGGAAATTGCTAAAGGTTTAAATAAAATGCACTTTACCTTAGCTTTTCCTTCAAGGGCTCCAGTCCCAGCATAAATTTTACTGACAGAATCTCCATTCACAGACCACATGGATCGGAAAACTTCCTGAAAGCGAGTAACCAGCTGAGGCTTCTCAGCTAATCCTAACACCTCCAGTTGTTTTGTTAGCATCTGCAACAGTTGAAGGCAACATTTGGAAGAGAAAGATGTTTTTCTAATACATTTATTAAAAAGTACATCACATTTTTTGAGCATATATGCACCCCTCCTAAAAAAATCTTTGCTTTATACCCAGACATATCATACTGAACAAAATAATACTGTGTCATGTTTATAAAACTGTACTCTACCTGGAGCTTTAGCTTCAGCATTTCACTTTGTTTTAAAAACAGGCAAAAATACAGGAATGTCAATGATCTGTAAACATTTTTACCTAAAAATTGCCACGTCACAAGGTAGTCTGCCTTTGATTCTCAAGTCTTTCTATTTAAATCTTTTAGAAATAGGACTGTTTATGTTTCCCAACAAGAAGTGTACTAGCAAACACATTAACCCCTATTACCAGAATGCAACACGAACAGAGCTCTGCAATGAGTGAAACTGCAATGGCTGCTGTCATTCACTCTGTTTTCATGTGTAATTTTTATCTGACAAAATGCAATCTTCACACTTACAGTCAATATACTTCAATTATTTATTTTTTTTTACTGTGCCTTCTACATTGAATGCATTTATATTACCTGCATATATGAAATATATATGCATTTAAATGCAAAATAATACATTTCAAACACAGCATTATGTCCAGGGATGTAGAAATGAACTATTGTACCTTTCCTGAAATCCCAGAATCAAGTTTGCTTAGAAAAAAAATCAACTAAGTTTGTTGCTACCAGTATAATAGTGAAAATAAATACTAATTATTAAAGCTAATGAAGAAGCTATTTTCAAGTGTTTTAGAAGGGGACAAGGAGAAGGGGTCTAAAATGATGAAGATAGAATTATGTACAGATAGTATTCTGAAGGTTAGACAGGAACAAACAACAGACAAAAAAGGAACTTGTAGAGAGAATTAAAGTAGAAATAAATGAGAAAAAAACTTCAGGAATTGTCTATTTCATTTTGTAATGTTAGCTGTTTGTGCACGGTTCACAAATCAAGAGAATACATATGACTAAAAAAAAGAAAAAAAAAGATTAAGGGTGATAGTCTTTTAAAATTAAGAAAGTAGCTGGTGAGGACTTAATTTTTCCTGCTTATGAATGAATTTTGGAATTTTAGCTGAAATCATAGTTTAGCTCTCACCAAGGAAAAGTTTGACATACTTAGCCTGAAAGAAAAAATACTATTAATTCAGCTCTTAAAAGGCATTAATAAGGTAAATGTAGAGCTGTAAATCTATGTCTTCTGTGTGAGTACTACACTATACTTTCTATTACACCACAAATCCTACTGTAATATTAAAATCCAACAGGTAATGTTTCACAGTCTTTCAATAGCATGCCAACTTGTTGAAGCAGAGCCCGGTAAGAGAATTGAATCCCACAGTAAAGGTGAACTACACAATCTCACCGTGGCCAAAGCTACAACCACAACATTCTTCCACAAAGAATTCACATCACACAGATGTAGAAGTAAGACGAGAGGACTAGCAGATGCTGGGAACTATAATCTCTTATGAAGAGCTCCATCTCTTAGAAGAAGAGAAAATGCCTTCAAGCTTAAAGAGGGTAAATTTAGGTTGGATATAAGAAAAAAGTCTTTCAAATTGACAGTGGCGAGGCACTAGAACAGGTTGCCCAGAGATGTGGTTGATGCTCCATCACTGGAGACTTTCAAGGTGAGGCTGGATCAGGCTCTGGGCACCTGATTCAGCTGTGCACTTCCCTGTTCATTGCAGGGGAGTTGGACTAGATGGCCTTCAAAGGTTACTTCCAAGTCTAAGGATTCTGTGACTCTATCTAACAGAATAACTGTGAATGTTTTGTGGAGGACTACACCACCACTACCTATTCTGTAGTTGCAAGCCTCGATCTTAAAAGACAAACTGATACTTAACAAAGAGTGAAGTGTTTTTCATAACGCTACGTGACAGCTGTGTAAGTGCAATTACTGCACAACTACTGTTTCATCAAACTAAGAGCTGGCTGCCCACAAAACAAGACAGTATGATGCTATAAATCAAAAGGCCACCTACCATTTATTTTTATTCGGCTATCACGTGGAAGGTACAGCTACTTTTACAGTCTACTTCCTACAGAAGTATCAGGAACAGTTCAGTGTCTGGAAATGCACACCATTTTTCCTACCTCTAAGCCAAAGAAAGCCTGCACGCTGTTTGTTCTATCCAGACAGTCCAAGCAGTTTGTTCTGACAGTACCACTTTGAGATCTGTGCCAAGGACAACGAGAGACAGAAACAGAAAACAACTGAAATAACTCATTTAACACATATCATCAGCAGAGACAGGGACATTAAGATCTGAACCAGAATAGTACATCACGGTATTGTCACTGCGTTGTTACTCTCATCTTGAGTGCATTTATAAAGGCATCAGCAATAGAGGGTAAGCTACGATAACAGCAGTAATTTTGCAACAGCACTGACTACACAAAAGTAATTAGTTTTCTGCAAATAAGATGAGCTTTTAGGTTTTTCTGCACTTCTCCTTGCTTTCTTGGTTAAGCTGTTACGCAACAGTAAGTTTCATTTTCAAAGAATCTAGCTAACACATTCTGTAAGAACTTCAGAGAGAAATAATTACAAAAACAAAAACGATAAACAAAGAAAAAAAATAAAAATAACTGTCCTAATAAAAGTAACAACAACTTGTGATAAAATTGAACTCAATTTCAATCTCTCTTTACTTTCCTTTTCCTCCCCAAACACGAATGAAAATTAAACCTCTTCCCTTTAGATCGACAGATGATTGATGCCCTCAGGATCCCTAAAGCGCTTCCCTTCTTTGAAAGAAGCCCATTAATCTTTGCTAAAAAGTTCTCAGAAGGGTCATATTAGGCAATGTTTACATTCTTGTTGGCTGGCTATGAGGATAAACATCTGATGTTCTCCCAGTGATTTATGCTTTTCCTGTCTTTTGTCATTCCCACTACACCCTTTGTCCAATTAAGTGTAGTTGGTATTGTTGGTATTGTTACAGGTTGGTAACGTTTACTTAACTTGAAAAACTATCAGAAAATTGTTGAAAATGCTGAAAAAATCTTCTTCAAGATTATACCATTACTATCTCTGTATTTGATTTGAAATAGAAAGAAACTTGGTATCAATATTAGAAGGAAAACTGACATTCTACAATGGAGATGGTCCATAAACTTCAAGTAATTTTAAAGCTATCACAACCTATTTTGCTTCCATTCAGCTGTCAGTCATTTTGATAGGTGGTGATATTATCTGGATCTCTGGCAAGACTGAATAGCATGCCCCACAAGGAGATAGGACTATACTGTTTTTATGATGTAAAACAAAAGAAAAAAATACTTTAAAAACTTTTGTAAGAATGCAAATAGTGTTTTGAGGTGGGGATGGGCTCTAACTACCATTCTACAAAATCTAATCTTCTTCAGGTCTCTTGAAACTTGCCCTGCAGGACATAATCCCACAGTGAAGTCAGGATCCAGAGCGGCACTGGAACTCTCTCCACTCCCACTGTATCAGCAAACAGAACCCAGGCCATGGCAACATCCCTTCACTCAGCAGTTGTCATGGAAAATGACAATTTTCTGCTCTGTGTTAATTAAATGGAGGAAGGGTGTGAAGGGGAGAAGAGCAGGAACATTGCCTATTCCTAGCCCTGCCTTTTCCTGCTGAGATCTTTGCTCTAGGAAGAAAGGGGAAATAAGGACAAGAATATACGTACATCAGGACTGAGTAGCACACAGCAGGAAATACAACATGCATCCCTGCTACCACAGGGTATAGAGCCCCAGAATTCTGATATAACTGTAATTGCAACTGGCTTACTGACCATCACATATCTCAATACTTCCACAAGCGCTAGAAAGAATTTATTTCTTTAGCAGAAGTTAGAGCTAAAAATAATATGATAAAATTAGAAATGCGTGACTTCAAGCAAATGTCAGCTGCTGAAAACATTTCTCTAGACTACCTTTGCCTCCTCTTCCACCACTAGCTGTATTTGCTACATCAGCAATACGTTCTTACATGATCTGCAAAAAGCACAGATTGCTGATCAAAACTCAGTAATGAATCTTGCCTACAAGGCTATTGGATAGCTGACTGTTCTTTTTTTTTTTTTTTCCACAAGGACATTTCAACATATGTTTTTTGTACCTCAGTAAGATGCATTTCTAACATCTCAATATGATGCTTCCCAAATAATAATTCTCCCCAGTTGCAAACCTTATTTGCAATCCTCTGGAACTCATTTATCTTGGGTAAAGATCACACAGTAAGAAGGTATTATGATGTATTATACTTAAAACTCATATGGCTATTGTGAGTGACTCATTTTGTGGAGAACCAAATATGTCAACTGGGGGGAATCCAGACAAAGAAATTTCAAGAAAGATAGCACTGAAAAATCAACATTCACAACAAACTGAAAACAGTATGCTCCATTGCTGAGGAAAATATGAACAAGTTATACAAGGAATGGGAAAAGGCATTCATCTTTCAATCCCATAGGAGCACACTCAAGAAAAAGGACAATCGACCACGTTCACAAAATGATGAATTCAAGAGTCCAAAGAACCTGAAACTAAGTCATACCCCATCAATGCTTCAGAGACTGTTTCCATCAAGACTTTCAGAGCATATTCAGAACAAGACAAAATATTAATAAAATGAGTGATTCATACTTAGTTGCTGAACATCATCATCTTGTATACAATAGAAGTACAATAACATAACTAGAAATATTTTTCTGTTATTTCTGGCTACGAGATAGAAAGCACCTCAGAACCATAATTTAATTTGAGTAAATACATAGGAAAATAAAAAAGAAAGAAAAAAAGAAAATGCAAACCTTTTAACTTCCTTTCCATCAAAATAAAAAAATCCACATTCTAAGAATTTCTGGACTTGAGGCTTAAGCACACTGTGTAGTTTTTCTGCTTTTCCACCTTTAACCATTTGATGATAGTCAAAGTTCACCATTTTTATATCAGCTGAATGTTCTGATGCTTTTAAGTGGCTCTGGTTTTGTAAATAGAGAAGAAAAGAACATAAATATGCTAATACATGATCACGGAGTACCATAAGTAAAACAAGAGATTAAACAAGAGGCTAAACAAGAATTTAAACATTTTAAAAGCAGTTTCATTAGATATTTTGTGCTTTCTATATTGTTTTATCATCGCTGTGCAACAAACCACTCAAAACTAACAAATATTTCACCTTTGTTTCTATTTTTTTCTTGCCACAAACAAAGTAGTGTTTTGTTTTGTTTTCTGCTTACTATATTAGGGGTCATCAATCACACATATGACAGCTTCTTCTGTTAAAACATTTCCCTTTACTAAGCCCTTCCACTATATTCACCATTTTAGAAATAACAGAAAAAACAGACAAATTATTTAGATTGCTGTTGAGGACAGTTCAAGTAAAATTTCCCCTTAAATTCCCTGAAAAATCCTAAAACTGTTCACAAAAGTTTTGGTGATAGAGTAATGGTAGAGTCATGAGCTGTATTGGGCATCCATACACATCCGTGAACAATAATATCTCCTGCCAGGATGCCTGGATTCAGAAAAGATGCTAGCAAATGGCCTAAAACATTCAACTACTGTAATACAAAGTGAAAGGGAAGAAGGAAAAGAAAAGCAACACATGGCTGCTGCAATGTTCTCTGGCTTCAAACAAGGCTGCTCACGTTGGCAGAATTTGAGGACAACTACGTGACAGTTGTTTTTAACTACATAGCATGAATTTGTAACACAGGGCAGCTACAGTGAATGCCTTCTGAACAAAAGCTCCAATTTAATCACAACACAGATTTTAAATTTATATTGCAAAATTTGTAATTTTTAAAAAATAATAAGTAATATATCCCAGAATTCAAGAGGGAAGATTTTAAAAAGAAATACAATATTATGAAAAGTCTAAAAGGACAATTTATCAGACTACAGGGCAAAAAAGATTTCTCTTAAATTAAGCCACTAACAAGCATGAAACATGAAAATAACTGCAGATCTCTCAATATTGCCTCTATGATAATTTTTCAGTAAGGTAATCAGTCTGCACACAATCAAGCCATAATTGTAAACAGCTTTCAAAAATTCACTTCACACTATTTATCTTAAGCAGTACTTTTAGGATAGATACTCCTTTAACTCCAGGCAGTAGCTGTTGCTGGGTATACCAGTATTTATTTCATTTTTCAAAGGCTGTATAAAAGCTTCATAGCACACATTCCAATTCCAAGGAAAAGCACAATGAGAGAAAGGTAACTCTTACCTGAAAAGCTTTGCTGAGCATGTGCTCCCCTTCTTTTGCCCCAAGTAAATTCACAATAATTTGCTTGCCATATAAATTTTTAAGAGTTCGGAAATGCCTGTTAACAGAAGAACAATTCCACACTCATTTTCTGCTTATGCTGAAAATTAACATGACTGTGTGGAACACTGACACAAACATAGTGGAAATTCTAATATCTCCAGCAAGTCTTATATTATGTCATGGCCGTACAAGCCAATGTAGTCCAATAACAGCATATAACAATTGTCTGCTCTTTAACTCAGATAATAGCATCAAAAATGTTGTTTGACAAAATACATATACTTAAAATCACAATGTTGTGAAATGGTTGTGTTAAGAATAAAGTATAGATTTTACTTCTACAACAGCAGCTGACAAATAGATTATTCAATGTGTAGCTATAATTTTTGTTCTAAATTTAATGAAGCATTTCACACTCTTTCTTCAAACTTTTCAACAAAGTACTCAAAGGCACAAGAAAACCTGTAAAAGTTTGAAAAGACTTCCCAGACATTCTACCGCTTTGGTGAATCACACTTTGGCATGGGCAAAGCCTCCTGCTTGAAACAATATATCCCATCACACTGATATATCACTTATGAGAGGTTCGTAACAACTTCATAAAATCTCAAGACATCACCTGTCAAAAGCTGGTGCATTGGCCTCAAAACCCCTTGACATTCTGACACGATGGGATCCCACCTGTAACACGAACATTAAATCATTTGGCATAACATATTTGACTTGTTCTTCCAAGACCACTTAATCCTGAATGTCTAAAAATGGCCGAAAAATTCATTACACTATCTAAACCAACTCCCCCAAATTTATTGTTTGCTACAGTGAAGCATTCTTTTATTGGCTTTCCTGAAGATTAATTTCACTTTTGTAAAAAGAAGAAAAACAAAAAAAAACCAACTTTAATATATTTATCATCTCATCTCATTACTTCTTGCTTTGAATAAAAGGCATGTAAACGTTTTAGAGGCTCTATTGCAACATGCTTATATGCCCAGCTTAAAGAACCTAAAGTAACTGCGAATTTCCTATAAAAGTTATATCCCAATAGTAGTTGCTGATGAAATCCCTATTCCAAGAAAACTGGGATTTAACTATATTGCTGGCACTCATGACTTCCTGAAAAACCTTACAGAAGAACACTTCAGAGGAAACCAGTCTCTGAGCATGACCTTAGATAATCTAGTTTGAAACAGCTATTTAAATTAAAACAGAAAAACTCAGAACTTCAAAAACAAAACATCTCAAATTAATGGACATTCAAACTTATGCAAGACAGCATTCAGAGACTCAAAAGTAGCAGATTTGCTGTATTAAACAACAGCACCAACTTGCTTCCAAAGGGCAACCTCATCCAGGTAGCTAACTGCAGCAGAGCCTAAAAGTTACTCCCCATCATGCTTAAGAATACATGAGTAGGAATTATGAGTACAGTTAAATCCATCTCCTGCTTACCTGCAGGCCTGGCTGCTCCCAAAACAATGGAACAGACCCTCGAATCTGGATGAAAGATGACACAGAATCATCTAAATATATCACCTGTTGAAGAAAAAAAAACAACACATAATGTTACTAGGCATTAGGGAATGTATGGAGGTTTTAAACTTCTTAGTCTTAGCTAAATATGCAGTAAACAAAACATATTTACACATTGCCTAATCCACCATGCAAAATACCATTTCTCTCCCTCACTTATTCCTCTCCCAGATCTGAACAATTCATAAGAAGTTCTGGCACTTCTATGCTTCCTGTGGAAACACGGTTCAGAAGGGTTGAGAAAATATTGCAAGATTTTATTACTTGGGCCTGAATGACTTTTGTACTAAGAGTAACTAACTATTTTGAAATCTTGATAACAACTTCCTGTAAAGTTTTTGTTTCCTACATCACAAGACCCATAACAGTTGAAATGTAAACGAGTGCACAGAAAATAACAATGCAGCCTACTCAGAACACCTGCACAGATTTTGTGCATCAAAATCTGAAATGCAATTGTCTGTTGACTATAAGGGAAAGGAAACTCAGTGGGATGATATGCCACAGACATCTAGTGACATTATCTGAAGGAGGCTTGTGCTGAGAAACCACAGGAACAGCATTCTAACTAAACTCCCAAAATTGGATGTGTATGGGCAGAGCTCTAGCTAGATGAAATCCTACTAAAGTCACCTAGGATTTGCAGCGAGTCAACCAAAAATACCTACTCATACAAATACTTTTGCAGAAACAACATCTTGGTAACTAGGTTATCATAGGAAGTGGGCAAAAAAAGTTGAAAGAATGATTTCATGGCTTCCTGCATTTCAGTATAATAATAAGGCCAAGGAAATGCAACCAAATGCAGCAGAATTACAGTGGCTTTAAAGACTACCTTTCAGCTGACCATATTAAGTAACCACAGGAATGCTTTTATCTTTCCCCAGGCACCAGGCAACATGTATCTGCCAAAGTCTCTTTTGCTGATGTTTACAATTAGCTCAAGCTAAAAGAAGCACACCTACAGCTCAAGCTAAAAGCAAGTATGGCCACCTACAGCAGCAGTTCAGCTGATGGGTAACACCTACTTAAGCTAGTGAAACTCAGACCCACGCATGCCCTGACCTTTAAGCTACACTAAAAACCAAGATCAGCAAATTATGTAACCTACTTAGATCCCTCATTTAGCAGCAAAGGAACTATTCCCATATCTGCTGGTTACAGACTCGATTCATAATCTGTTGGGTTTGGGGAAAAAAACAAACAAACAACAACAACAAAAACTTACGCTGAGCTCAGCAAGTGAATGTGCACTGTGTCTGACATACCTGCTCTGTTTCAACAAAGTTAGCAACGTGACCATCATCGTTAGTTCCCCGGACGTTAAACCTGGTCCCAGCTCGCTCACAGCTTAGTCGTGAAATGAGACAAGCCTTTGCCTGCTTGTGAGCTGCATAAATCGTCCTTATCTCCACTCCTCCACACATGAGACGTAACAACCAGTCATCACAATTCACTCCATAGTGCTTCAAATGTAAATGCAGTGACTGATTCCTATCAGGAAAAAATATATATATAAAGGAAGAAAATAAAGCCCAACTCAATTTGTTACACCAGATGCTAACTTCTTTATCCTATGCCTGCTAATACAAACAAGAAAAGGAAAAAAATATGACATAGTTATATGATGTAATTCTTACTTAAACATACTTAAAATAGCAGAGTTCACAAGGGAATAGCTTTGATGATGGCACAGTAAGAGTCATGAATTTTAATGATCCTAAAAAAAAACCAAACAACTAAAAAAAACACATAGCATCTGCTCTTCAACTAGAGAGAAAAAAAAAAAAACAAGAGAAAAAACACTCCAAAGCAGGAACACATTCATAACCAATTGATTTTCAAAACTCTGTAAATATCAGTTTCAGGGCTAAGCGTGGCTGCATTTTATATTGCATATACCTAATTCTAATACCAGTGACTGCTGAAACAAAAGAAAGACCCACAATCTGGATATACCTATACATTAAGTAGCACCCATTAATGCTGTAGTGAGTAAATAGAGCTGGGATTTGTTGGGATTTGTGAGAGTTGGTGTTTCATTGTTTTTTTTAAACCTCATTCTACTGGGGCTTGGCTTTTGATTTTCTTTGGAAACATTTGTTGTATAAAAGGGAAGTAAAGTTTTCTGTATAGCAAAAAAAAAAAAAAAAGAAAAAGAAAAAGAAAAAAAAAGCAAACTCTAGTAAGAGAATTGCTGACAGTGCCTGGAAAATTCTATCACAATTGCAAATGAAGTTTGGTGTAATGGCTGAAAGTATTTACTTTAAGTTTAACCTTTTCATTCTAAATTTCTAAGTAAGAAAAAATAAAATAAACCTGCAACTTATCAAACACATCAGCTGCTTTAAAAATATTCATTAATAAACATTCAAATCATGTGAATACTTCCATTTTACAAAAAAGTACATGGATGCATTACAATAGAAGGTTAAGAAAACAAACAATATTCCTCCCTGGGCTATTTGAGACTGGGACTTTTGAACAGAAAAAGCCCAGAAGAGCTCACTGAAATGCATAAGCAGAACATTAGGTCTTGGAATCTGTGATACTTCATCTTCCTCCTGTTAAGATTCATTCTTACTGGGAAAAAAACAAAACAAAACAACAAAAGCTGAGAAGTTTTTTATCAAGGGACAAAATACAAGGCCAATCTGATTTGGACACGATCAGCATGCATCACCAGACCTTGAAATACTGACCTACAAACAGCCCTTTTCCAGACACAAAGATAAATAGCTAGGATGCCTTAATTCCTTTAAATCTACATTGACATGTAAGTCACTGAAGACTACAGCTTATTTTCAGTACTGATACACATATTTGTTTTAACATAACAATCTGATCATGGTCCTCTATCTGAACAAAACAGCGGCAACAGTATTCCAGGGCTTCTTGGTGTCTTGCACATTGAACAGAAAAGAGAGGAAAGAGGTAGTTTTTCACTTGTTTAAAAAGCATGCTACCAAGTCTTCAGGACCCTTTCAATGGTCATGGACACATGCATAATTTTCAACAAGGTTGAAAAACAGGTGAGCAGAATTTGTTCACCTTTTCTGAAGTTCAGAATGCATCACTGGCATTATTTCATAGAATCACAAAATCATTAAGGATGGAAAAAAACACTAAGATAATCTAGTCCAATCATCGATATCCAATCATCCCCACTAAAACATGTCCCTAAATGCCATATCTACACGATTATTGAATGCCTCCACCCTCTCCCTGGGAAGCCTGTTCCAATGCACCACCAGCCCTTCTGAAAAGAAATGTTTCCTACTAGCCCACCTGAACCTTCTCTGGCACAACTTGATGTCATTACTCGTCCCATTGCTATTACCTGTGAGAAAAGCCTGACACCCATCTTGCCACAACCTCCTTTCTGGCAACTGTAGAAAGCTACGAGGTCTCCCCTGAGCCTCCTCTTCTTCAGGCTGAACAACTCCAGCTCCCTCAGATGCTCCCAATCAAACTTGTGCTCCAGACCCCTCACAGCTTCCCTTCCCTTCTCTGGACACACTCCAGATCTCAATATATTTCTCATAGTGAAGAAACCAAAACTGGACACAGTATACACAGCCTCACAAGTGCTGAATACAAGGGGATGATCACCTTCTGCTTATTGGCAGAAACAGCACTATTCCCTTAATCAAGAATTTGGTGTGAAAACTCGTACTTTATTGAAAGATATTCTGCAAAATGATAGTAAGTTCAGCGGCCAAGCAATGTGTATTGTAGTGTAACATACCTGCTCTGTTTCAACAAAATAGCAACAGTACAATTATCCACGTGATAAAACTTTTACAGCCCTTCAATATGTGAAAACTCATTTGGAAACTACTTGTTAAAAAACCACCATTTTAGCATCCAGAATGCTGTAAAGATTATTTTTTTTCTTGAAGCTCCATTACCACACCCAGTTTTAAAAAAATCAACACATTTATGAAGAACTAAAAGACACCAAAGCTGAAACATAAAACCACACAGACTGTTCAGATCAAAGTATCATACCAGAAGCAGAAAAAAATCTGTCTCATCCAATTAGGAAATGGCCATGGAACAGTAAGATCATACTTATGTCCTCAGAGTTAAAATGATGCTCTTTAGTTAATTAATATTTGCGAGGCACACATTTAAGAGCTGACAAAGACAGGGTTGAAAATTTACCACAGCTTACTTTGCACAGACATACATTACTCTACAGAACGTCTGATAAAGCACACTGTGAACTCACCAGAAAAACCTGTTGTCAGTGGTGTGCTCTTGCATGCTGCGGTGAGCATTGAGACTAAGGTCTAAGCTGACACCAGTGGCAGACCATGCAAAATAAAAGTTGCCTGAATTCAAAACTTTGCGCACTTCTGAAATGCGATCTTCATCCGTTGATTCGATTCGTAACGATACGAATTCAGTGGAGGTAACTCGAAAGACTTCAGAGTCTTGAATCTTTCCCACAGACATGCATCCTGTTACTACAACCAAATAATGTAGCAACGTGTCTCCTGGAAAAGCAGAAAAGGCACATGTAAGAGAATTAATCTTAGACTGTGATGCTGACATATTTATATTCTTCAGTGCATACAATCTCACCCTGACTTGGCTGAAAAAGTTATTAACATGAAGCCATTCCCAACTTCAACAGAATAAAAGGAAACACAAATAGGAGACATTACGCTGAAAATAACAGGGATTGCGAAAAAGGAAGTTATTTTTGTCCACTCCCTCATTTCTGGGAGTGTTCCAAACTTGCAAGTTACTTTACAGAGACAAAAGAAAAAAGCAAGCACAGTTACTGTTCTGGAGATCCTGAGTGTTCAGTTTTGCAGAAGCAACACAATTTTCTTTCCCAAATGAGAAATTAAGGTTTTAGATAAGCTTACTCACCCAGGTTTAATCTTAATACTCCCAGAAGCCCATATGCATCCATTACTTTGGAGTAGGTATTCTTGATTGTATCTTTTTCTGCAGATGCTATGAAGACAAAACAAAAGGTTTTATGACGTTAAAGACTGCACGCTATGGTGTGGACAATGAATCTGCTCTAAACTGAAAATCCAAGTGAGTACAGCTATAGTGCTAATATACAACTGCAGGAAAGAAATCAGAATTTATGAGCACATGGCATTTTATAGTGAAAGATGAGTATTTGATTTTATGGCAATGTATGATACTCTATATTTTTAGGCTCCCCAAAAAGAAACTTGCGTAACCCTCAAGTGATAGGTATTAACATTATCACCTCCTAACATAAAAAGGATCAAAACCACAAGCAAATTATTTCCATGAGAATGTTCTTTTGAAATTAAGGTAGTGCTAAATGCTTTTTAATTCTGAATAAATAAATCCATACCCTCCAAGAATAAAACTATGAAATGGTAATATTATTTCCAGACTACCAGACTATCCCAAGTGTATTTCAACCATATTCCAAATAAACTGTAAGTCTTGTGAGGCCACAAGATGACAGTATCTAAAATCCAAGTCTTTTTCCACGGAAAAAAATGTTGGATTTGTAGAATTTTAGAAGAAATTGAAGTATATCTACTATTACTTATCTAGGAGTTAACTTTAGTGTACACACTTTAGAACTCTAACCAAAAAAACAGGCAAACAAGGTTGGCAGTGGAGCCAGGCAACAGCCTGCAGAGCAGAGCAGAAACAGGATCCCACCTGTCCCGAGCTGCTGCTTGTGACTGAGACTGCTCCTGAAGTATAAGGACTGACAATTCCAGCTGTGCCACTGGATCAATTGAGACTTTCGGGTCATCAAGGATTAGCACCTTCTCCTTCCTCAAAAATAGTTAATTTTCACTTTGATTCACTATCATTTCAACACAAGGAAAAGTGTAAATTGAAACACCTGCTCTGGCATAATATTGTGTCCTATTTCACATTAGCTATCTTTTCTTTAGAACAGCTGCTGTGCTTCTTCCTATTGAGTGTTTCTAAGCTTAGCACAGCACTGCCTGTGCACAAGTCTATATGCCTTTTGTTTAAATGTCTGCCAGTTTTTTTTCCTAACGGAGATTCTAGTCCACTTTATAGATGAAACAATTATTTAACCTCAGTCTGAAATCCAAGCTAGCTCAATATATAAAATGCACTTAAAAAAAATCCTTCTTCAACTATTTACGCTGTATTCCGGAATCCAGAAGCAAAGAAAAAGAGAATTATAGAAGCAGGATTCTTCTCCAAATCCTCATCCACAGTGCTACAAATCACAGCTAATACAAACACACTGCTTACAAATAGTGATTTTATCAGCATCACCAAACTATATTTTGCTTAACTAGAACACCACCAGGCTGGGAAAACAACTTTCAAACTTCCAATCCATTTTTCCACTATGCATTCAATGAGATTAATGCACTCTTCTAAATTCATCTTTTGGTAAGCAGAAAACTGCTGCACTCCTCCACATTTCAAATTATTAAGGATAGATGAGGTTTTCTTTCCAACTAATATCTTTTTGCAGGGTTTTTCTTAGGGGAGCCTGGCAGCATTTAACAATACATAAAACAATGGCTTTTTTGTCTTCTGTGGATTTACTCTGTTTTTCTCATTGCACAGAGCGTCTGTTATCCTTGCTAAGCCTTAATAAATAAATGCCTCAAGTGAAGTAAGTAACGTGCACTTTGCAAATTCAGATCTACAAAAAAGGCCAAAAGAGACTAATGAAGCAGTAAAAGGTGGCAAAAACAAAGAGAAAATGAAACCAGAAAAACTTACTGTAGCCAGTCAACTATTATTATCTCAGCCAAGTTCCCAGGCACTATCCCAAAGCACCTAGGTTTTATGCCATGGTTTTCAATTACAGTATGTGTAAGTGTGAATTCTTCCACAGTCAGAGCTTAAGTACCTCTCCCTCACACACTGGCTGATGCTCTGTCTTTTTTTAAAGCCAAAATTCACATGAGAAAGTGGCAAATGCCTCAGAATGTTCAGATCACCCTGTTCTGGCCCTCCTCGCTCGTCCCCACATTTCTGCCTCCCCGAACTGGACTTCAAGCACAAGGGGAATTTCAAGCACAAGAAATCAGCATCATGATGCTCTACAAGAGGGGACCTGGATTCTGAAGACCTTTCTTGTGTGAGCTCTGCAGCTTAACTGCAATGCATTTGTACCACCCTTCCCTAAGGCACATAGTGATTAGAGCCTTATAACAGACTGAAATCCTAAGGCAAGGTCCTCCCTGACTGAGTGAACCAGTTGGGTATCAGCTAAAGGTTCTACGCTGAGAGGGCAGTCAGGCCGTGTAACAGGCTCCCCAGTGAAGTGGTTACAGCATCAAGCCTGACAGAGATCAAGAAGCATTTGGAGGATACTCAAACATGATGTTCAAATTTTGGGCACTCCTGTGTGAGGCAAGGAGTTGGACTTGATCCTTGTGGGCCCCTTCTACCTTAAGATATTCTGTGATCTCTCTCATTGTCAGCATTCATTACTCTCAAAAGAATTTTGATGTAGGGATGAACTGATACTAGCCCGTACAGACAATAGCTGAAGGGATAACAAGCAGTTATCACATAAGCCTCCACAGCTACACTGTTTCTTTCCCCTTTTGGTTTCTTTTCCTCACTTGAGCTGTGGGGGCACTGTGAGGACCTGCAGCTCCCTGTCCCACTGCCCCAGGCAAGGAGTAAGGCAACTGAGGAGGGCTCCAGATTCCATGAAGACAGGCTGAGGCCAGGCCACTACAGACTGTGGAAAGAATTTGGGATCAGGCCTGATGAGGGGATGGTCAGGGCCATGGGGATAGGGATGGGACATGGGTGGGACATCAACATGCTTTGGTGGGCCCCTGACTGTGTAAGGCTTATAGGGAGCTGGAATCAAGCACTGTTGCAGCCTTGCTGAGGCAGGGCCTGATGGTCCTGAAGTCTGCTGTGGTGTCCTGAGAAATGGGCAGGGACATGCAGGGCTGCTGGTGTCCTGACAAGATCCATCTGTGTTTTTATTAAAACAGTAGTAGTACTGATGGTTTAGACCAAAAGTCCACTCCTAATCCAGTGCCCCCACCAGTAAGAAGCAACAGCATGAGTTTCATTTCATAGATGCTAAAGGTTAAAAAAAAAAACAAACAACCCAACAACAAAAAAAACCCACAACCAACCAGTCAGACCAGAGTAGATCCAGACTGGAATTTATTATTGACAGCTGCTGCACATGGCATTTCCCATTTCTGAAGATGCTTAAGTTAAATTTATGGGTCTTTATCTCCCTCATTACTAACAGGCTGAACAACAACAGAAATGCTCTGGAACTGTTTGATTTCTCCCAACAACTTTTGAAGATCTGCTCCCTCTCACTTCATTCAGAACACACAAAACCTTCAGATAACGCTGGATACAGAAGAGCATATGAAATAAAGTTATGTGGGCAAGACTTCATCTTTATAGTACACTGTATCTAGAGCATGCAAAACTGAACATCACTTCTCTCTATGAAAATCTGGAATCACCAGTTGTGTGAACTGCACAGAAGTCAAACCAAGGCAAAACTAAGGTAATCCTGACAGAAGAAGACAACATTTCCAAGAGTGTTTCCTCATTTCTTCTGCAACTTTCTTCACAAATGAGAACATCTCTTCCCCAACTGGTGGGCTGGCCTGCAGCCATGAGAACCCTTTTGATTTTGATTTATGAGCTTGAAAAACACATAGCTGACATAAACATCTACTCAAAGGAAGCAGAAACTCCTGCAAATTAATGAGTTTACTTCTCTCTCAGAAATAGACCTTTGTATTTATTTTTAAATAGTTGGACATGAGCAAATATTGAAGCTATCTGAACAAAACAAAACAAGCTAAACAAACGCTTAAGAACAAGTCAAGGCATACAACTTCTGAAGACAGAAATTTGCAGTTAGAACGACAACCTTCATCTGCAATGCAGAAGTTCACAGATTTTCAAATTACAAAGTACGGGGCACTTAACAGTAGACATAATTTAAGTGTCTGCATATAAAGATAGAAAGAAAATATTATGAGGCAGTATTCTTCTATTACTTGTTATTTAATAGGACAAAAAGACGACAACAAACCTACAACATCTTTAATGTGGTTTTCAGGTCAAGTTTTAATGCATTCTTACTGAAAGCCATCAAGACTCTTTGCAGCATCAAGAGAAAAGGAATAAAATAAGTTTAAGTCATATTTATTAAAAATTAATAGGCCATAGTACTTTTCAAATGGCCATGTCTCACTTGTGTGTATTTGTAATATCACACCTTATCAGCCAGTGACTCACATTTAAGAAGGTGACTGATTAAACTGTTTTACACCAGCTGTCTTACTGCTACACAAAGGAAACTCTATTAAAAACTCTGTCTTTGAGACAACTTCAGGTGCACAATCCATTCTGTTTAATTCCCTGTTAAAAAAAAAAAAAGTTTTACAATTTTTTACAAGAACTATAAAGCTAAGACCACATTTAGAGCTATCCTTTAGGCTCTCTACAGTTCTTTTCTCAATGGGTTCACAAGGTATCATTGGCACGTGAACTATGGCAACAACTTCCTCAGTGATACCTCAGTGATACGTAGCTCCTTCAGAAACAGAACGATTCTCATTTAAGTTAGAAGAGGGAAAAAAAATCATGCACTTGCCACTTTAAAATGTTCAAAATTTGAAAAATGTATGATTTTTTAATTTTTTTTTTAAATTATTCTTTAGCTGAGCATTTAAGATTGAGATTTTTGAAGTGTTATTATTAAAACAGCAGTCGTACTGGTGGTTTAGATCAAAAGTCCACTCAGTCATCACACATTTACAAGAAATTAATTTTTGTCAAATTAGGACAGCTAAGATTTTAGTATTTAAATGAAAACTAATAGTTCAATATTACCATATATGGGATACATTAAAGTCACCACCTTCACTTATAACTCAACCAACTCAAGACCCATTTTGATCCTTTTGATACTTTGTTGATGTGAATCGATTCACAGCAAATTGGAAGACAGCTGATAT